AAAATAATTATTTTATTATAATTTAATATATTACATAAATTAATCAAAATATGTAAACAACTCATTAAAAGATAAATTGATTATTTTATTAGATATGTTTCTATCCAATTTTGTTCTACGTAATATATAGGAAGAAGGAAACATATAAAAAAACGTAGAAAGTATTTATGTTTGATGAAAAAAATAATAAATAATAAATAATAAATATTACACATTATATTATTACATTACATCTGGGTGTTTTTAGTGAACCTTTTAAAGTTAACTTGTGATTAATTCATAATATTAAAAGAAATGATTGATGTTTATATTTATAGATTTATGATGTAATTGTAATTTTTGATTTTAAGAAAATGATTAGATTGAAAACAACAAAAATAGTCGATCGGAAGTGGTACAAGTAGCGCGTACCATAACTTATGTCGGTATGCAAATCAACAACCGGAGAAATCGCCGGAGAATGAGATGCAGTGGTACGTCGTCGCATCGCTCCTGACCCTTCTCACCAGTTCTCAGGTACCTTTCGCTCTCTTTTAACCCTAATTTCCACTTCAATAGTCCTCACCTTTCCACGTAATCTGCGTGTTTTAGGACACTTGATCTGAATCAATCTCTGTTTCATCATTTACAACCAACTCATTTTTTGTTTCGTCTCATCGTTGCTTCGAAATTGCTTAAATTTAGTAGAATTTGAACTTATTATTATTTTCTTATAGGAATTTGGTTAGGTTTAAGGTTATGTGATCTCTATGTTGCTTGTTTGTTGCAAGTACTGTCGATTCCTTCTTCTTTTGCTATGAATAAGGAATGAAATGATTGGGTTGCTTTGGAGATTTCTTGTTTCATTGCTGCAATGTATTTTTTTTGCATCTTTCGCAGCATTGTTTTGCTGGTCTGATGAGTGGTTGGGGGTGCGGGAAGTTGTTACCACAAATCACTTAGTTTAGAAAGAAAGAGAAGTGTGTTGAAAATGAGTTTATGGCGATTTTAGATTTTGGCCTTTTAATTCTGATATTCTAATGAGTAGTTTCCAACTTTAATTTGCTCAGTTCCTAACTGAACATTTTCTATTTTGTCATTTATGGCAGGGAATTTTGACTACATTGTCACAGAGTAATGGGGGATACAAGTATGACTATGCAACTATTCCTTTTCTTGCTGAGATCTTCAAGGTATTTATTTGTTCATGTGACTACATATAATTTCATTTATTCTTGGTAGTAATGAAGTAATTCACTTTTAGAAGAGACAGGTGATAAATGACACTTGTGCTTAAGGAAATAATTTTTGGGGGGTTTTGTGAATGCTTAATGTTCATAATGGCTTCTCTAGTTTCATCTTTTTGTATCTAGAGCTGTTTCAGATGGAACAACTAATTGGGCTGCTTTTCTGTTGCAGCTTCTTGTATCTAGCATCTTCCTGTGGAGGGAGTGTAAGAAATCGCCTCCTGCCAGGATGACAACAGAATGGAAGTCTGTTCGATTATACCCTATCCCATCTATAATATACCTCATCCATAATAATGTTCAGTTTGCCACCCTGACATATGTTGATACATCCACATATCAAATAATGGGAAATTTAAAAATTGTCACGACAGGAATATTATTTAGGTGAGTTCCCTGATCTTTTTGTTTAAGTAAATTATATAGCAACTCCCATAATGTTTGGGAATTTAATAACAACCCTTTGTTCTAATTTCACTTGCACTTGATAGTAGTTGTTGTGAAGTTAAGGGGTTGTTTATTTCTTTAGGCTGTTCTTGAAGAGGAAGCTCTCCAATTTGCAGTGGATGGCGATAGGTTTATTGGCTATTGGAACAACCACAAGTCAGGTGCTACTAATATCTCCTGCTGGCATCCATGCTTGCAACCTTTTGTACCTATTGCATTCCTTTTGCTTGATCTCATTTTTATCAGACATAAGCTTTTGGCTGATAGACTAGAGAAGATTTTATTGAAAATGTATTCTTTTGGCAAAAGGAAAATTATGTTGATTTGAAGAGATCCACAACATTATACTTGAAGGTGGAAAGATCTCTTTCCAATCCATGAAAACACTGAAAGCAACCTTTCCTTAAAAACCTTGAACCCCAATGAAACCTATTAGAAGTTAGAACAAATGAGAAACTACAAAAACCCTACTAAGATTGCCACTTAGACATTGAAGCAACATAAGCTAACTAACATGAGCACTGAATTTGAATACCAACTTGAGCACTTGATATCAACTTGAACCGACTTGAGATGTTGCTTAGTCCTGAAGCCACTTCCCCAAGACCTGAGATTGGAACTTGAACCCCTCAAAAAGTGGCCTGTCTGAGAACTGACAAATCCAATCTGACTTCAAAAGCTTGCTTATGGCAATGGGTTGTCTAACCATGCAACTTGAGTTTTTTCAAACAATGCGTCGTCTACTTAATGCTTCCTTTACAATGTTCCTATCATGGACCATTCATATTTGCCAACTCCTCCAGTACTCAATGACAAGACCCTCCCCAAGTCCGAGGCGGTTGATTTTAGTATTTGGACGTATTTGTTATGAAGTCATCAAAATTATGGTTGCTTAAATTCTTTTGACTATCAATAACTATACGAATTGACTTGCCCACCTTTGAAAATCTGTGATAGGTAGAAGTCTCATAGTCCTCTTTGGACCCATAGACTATGACTAATGGATCAAGAACCGAGATCTTCCATGTCTCTCTGTTCCTCTTCTTTTCTTGTCTTTTTCTTCGACTTTCCAGTCATGCAACCCCTATCCTCCTGCTCTTTTTCGTTGCTCTTTAACTTGCGGACTCTATGAACTAAGATTTATCCTTGAAACCAAAACATGTATGGTGCAATGATGATTCCACAAGACATTGTAAACTGGATCAGAAGTTTTGTCTTGGTGGAAGTTGGGTTTTCAGATGTCTGGATTTGAGAAAGGGGATTAACTTGGTTGCATGCGGAAGGCACAGAAAAGTGGGTTTGGTTTGGGATATAGAGTGTAGCTTTGAAAGTTGGTAGCACATATGAGTTAAATGTTAAACTATTACATGGGCCAGTTGTACAAACAGTGTGCACTGTATCATATTTTTCTCTTTTCAGAATCGGTTGTCGTGATTCTTGCTTCATCTGTTTCCTTTTTTTTTCCATCAATTAATTCAATGATGTCACTGCCTGCAATATTTACTAGTGAACCTTTACCTTATCAGTTATTTATTGATATAGGTTAAAGGATGTGGGGAGGCGTCCTGTGACTCCCTCTTCTCATCGCCAATCCAGGGGTACATGTTGGGCGTCTTGTCTGCTTGTCTTTCTGCTCTAGCTGGTGTTTATACTGAATTTTTAATGAAGAAGAATAATGATAGCTTATATTGGCAGAACGTTCAACTGTACACGTAGGCTTCTTCGTTCTTTATCCTTTTTGCTTTTGTAGTAGAAAAATGTGGCTATGATATTATGGTTCCTGCTGCTAGTAAGTGACAACTGACTATACATGTTCATTTCAGGTTTGGTGCAATTTTTAACATGGCACGACTTATTTTGGATGATTTTAGAGGAGGATTCGAGAGAGGACCATGGTGGGAACGACTTTTCAATGGGTACACCATCACAACATGGCTGGTGGTATTAAATCTTGGTTCCACTGGTCTTTTGGTGTCATGGTTAATGAAATATGCCGACAACATTGTGAAGGTTTTGCCCTTTCTTTCTACTTGTATTGATTTAATATCTTCATTTGCATCACTATTTGCAGTATGGACACCTTCTTTTCCAGTAATTCCTTCAGAGGTCTTATTAGAAGCTGTTTTCTTAAAGCTATAGGACTTGTTATGGTTTGAATTTCCTCAGTTTTGTGGGCAAGCCACCAACCAAATGAAATCCCTTGGTTTTGCATTATTCTCGTACTAAACCAACCCATGCTAGCTATTTCATTGACCAAACGACCTTGAATTGGTATGGATTAGTTACAACTTAACTTACAGTTTCACCAAATTTAGAATAATCTGTAGTTTTCAATATCAATTTGAGAACAACTGCAACATTAATACTGACAATAGCATATGGTTCAATCACCATTAGCATTTTGATGCACATGTTTTTTTCCCAATGCTGGAAAAGTGTGGTTCTTAGAGGTAGGCACCCGTCCAACATCCACAGAATAGTAAATGAAACATGGGATAAGAAGGGTGAATCATGAACTTCTAAAATCATGTAAATCCTCATAATTGCTTGAAGGAGAATATACACAATGCTCTTTCAGCAAAGCAGACTTAGTCCAGCATATGAACATAAGCTATATTCCATGGGTGCAGCTTAAATGAAGCCCCCACTTTTGGTTTCGGAATGGGTGTGGGATGACTGCTGGGTTCATGCCAGGTTTGGTTGACGATATCCTGAACCCATGGTTATTGTTAATTTTGGGATTGCATAGTCGGGTTCTTTCTTTGTCTTTGGATCTTCTGATTCGACAACCAACAAACCCTAAAAGAAAGATGAAGAAAAGGAGAAACAGTAAGGGGGAAGGGAGATGAGAGAGAGTAAGGGGCAAGCGAAGTCTCTTTTTCTGCTCATTTGTTTTCTTTGCTTTGTAATTGATGACTTCTTTTATTTGCGACGTGCAAGTATATATGTATATCAATTGATTGATCCATAATATATGTAAGATTATGTTTTTGAAATTTATCCCCCAAAAGAAATGCAAATTTGATCATTGTTATTTATCGTCAAGCTATTTGATGCACCCTGAACCCTGCATGGAACATAACTTATATGTGATCATGCAAGTCTGTGATGTAATGCCTGCTGTAATATCTGCTAATTTTAATGATAAGTCTTGTAATATAATGAAATTTTGAAGATTAGCTGATAAGGAACCTGCAGTTGGCATTCATAGATAGCCAATAGTCCGTCTTGTATTCTTAACAGAACTCTGTCTATTGTTACTTCCCCTTTATACTTTCTCTAAAATATCATTGTGTGCTCCTTGCAGGTGTATTCCACATCAATGGCTATGCTACTCACAATGGTTTTATCAGTGTTCCTCTTTACTTTTAAACCAACATTACAAGTAAGTAATTTTCTGAATCATCTAATGGAGCATTTATCACCATTTGAGTCAAAAGGAATTTCTTCACCAGCCCCCTTTTAAGGGAACCATGTTTTTCTCAACCTTTTACATGCACTAACAAATGAATTGGAATGTAGCATACTGCATTTTACTAGTAAAGGTGACTTTAAGAAAATGCCAACTATTACAAGAGGCAAGATGTAATGTACTTGAATATTTAATTAAAGATTATTCATATACCAATGTTAGTATAATCTAAAAGGAATTAATTCAAGCAAGTAGCAGAGAAGTAGCCCACAAATCTTAATCCTTAAAATTGTCAATAAGCTTTAGCCGGTACAAGAAGCTTCGAAGTGAGTTTATTTTACCTTAATGGAGGAACTATTTTACCACACTTTAATTAGTTTGAATCTCATATCTCGATCAGTTGGTTTTTATTTAATTAGTTTGTCATTTGGGGACTTCAATGTACATGAAGCTAACGAAACAGATAATGATTCTTATTTTTTCATGATATTTTTCTAGCATATAGACCATGTTGATTGTTGGTATACTTTCTGCTTGTGTGTTTGTGGTCTAAAACAATGTGGTTTTATGTATGCTGTCAAATGAAGTTACGCCTCTCTCTCTCTCTCTCTCACAATTTAGATATTAAACTTATCTTTGTGGTTGCTACAGCTCCTTTTGGGTATTATTATCTGCATTATGTCGCTACACATGTATTTCGCACCACCAAGTACGCTTGTAGACTTGCCTCTAGCAGTAAAGGCAGCGCCTCAAAGTGGCATTGAAGTCTCGGTAAACCGTAGAACAGATTCTTGATTCGTCTTCGTTGAACAAACAATTATTTGGTATGTTGATGCTTACTAAAGATTATCCTTTGATACATTCATTTATTTTAGATAATTTGTTGCTAGTATCTTCTAACTGCACTATATCACACCTTTCAACTCAGAATCATGGTATACCACTTTGTTTCAGGACTATGTCACTTTGGACACAAACTGAAAATTTTGAATTTTTAACATTAGGTTTTATATGTAGGAGATTGTTAAAAATTACTAGGGCTTTCTGCACATTAACCTGGGATACTTTCACCTACTTTTCCCTTGATGCTTCTTAGCCACTTTGAGTTGGCCTGAACTTGACCAAAAATGTTAATAATAAGCTTGCTTTTTTAACACCAGTTCAATACTATAGGGTTCCGTTTAAAAGTAACCTTATACAAAACGCACCAGAAATTAAGATTGATTTAGTTAAATAACTTTCTTTTTAGAAAACTTTTCATAAAAAGAAACCCTTAGGGGAAGAATATTACAAACCATCTTAGATTTCTAATCTAGTATGTGTTTTACAAAAAAAAAATGAAGGTTTCTTTTTTGTTTTATCAGGTAACCTAGAAGTACTCTAAGTATGAGTTGGGCCTACCTTAATCCTTAAACCCATTTCTTTAAGGCCCATCAAGTCTAATTAAGGTTTTATTTCATTCTTTTATCTTAATAAAATTATATGTAAATATATTTACGCATAAAACCCTATAGTTATCGTAATTACATTTGTAACCTTTACTTTAATTATTCTCCTAGAATGATAATAATAAATTAATAATCAACATGATATTATTCAGGTTTCTGATTATCCAATAACCATATCAAAACATACGTTTTCTTTCTTTATATGCGGCTCTATAGGTTTATATACTCTTCAGCGGTATTACTGTGTGACACGTGTCGCGGGCATATAAAAAATTACATACATTGAATATTTTTAGTCGATTAATTACACGGTGATGGTGTTAGAAGAAATGGAAAAATGCGTTTAGGTTCCATTGATTAAATATTAGAAGAAACAAAAGCAATACTAGTGCGAATGGAGGAAAATGGTTTATTAGATCTAGGTTAAACTTGAATCCTGTGTGGAAATTTCACAACTTCTATGTGTTGGGAAGAATCTTCTTGCAAGAACCAATTCATGTGAACTCACGGTGCGTTTATACGCAGATAAGACTGGACTGGATGGGCAAGAATGAAGTACGCGAGTGAAAGAATTGTGCAATCTTTTAAGGTTTTAATTTGACATGATTAATTTAGTAATTTATCATTTTTGTCCCATCTCCCTAGTTCTTGTTCCACCAATTTTGGTGGGACGAAGAAAATGCATTTTGTCCCACTCAACATTCTCCCATCCGAGTCTAATGTCTCACCAAACAACGGATAATAAGTTTATGTTCTATCTTGTCCTCCTTATGACTTACATATGAGAATGATTTTTGTCCACATAATTTCATTTATTCTATTATGGTTGAAGGGTGTTTTTGGAATTAGACCATTAACTGCTCCATCCAAAAGAATAATGCTGACATTTGAGTTTAATGAAAGGTTTTGATTGTAAATCAAATATCTAAAATACCCAGAAAATTTGTGGACCAAATGGATATAGAAATTGTTATATACTTGTTTTTTGGGTAGGGAGGAAGTATTGTTTATTCAGGCTTTATGGGAGAATCAATACCTTGGTGGCAGGGTCGGTACCATCCCAACGACTTCCATGTGCATGATGACTCCAGTTTGGATCATTTTATTCCCCAACTTGGTACCATGTAGAGCACAAGTTCCCATGATATATATATATATATATATATATATATATATATACATATACATATATGTGTGTGTCTCTCTCTCTCTCTCTCTCTCTCTCTATATATATATATATATATAGGGTTGGGTCCCAGTGAATGGAAGTTACGGTGAGAAGGATACAAAGTGATCTCTACACTTGGATCACTTCTAATTGACGATCAACACTAATGTGATGCACCGGATCAACTCCCGTGATATGGCGCAACTCATGTGGGGGGGGGGGTGAGATTAAAAGTGATAAGAGGTACAGATCCTTTCTTCGGCTTCTCATCTGAACTCCTATTCTCACACGATCCTTCGTCTCTCTTTCCCTATATATTATACACACACACACATAACACAACATAACAGACCCTCCCGTTTCCATCTCCTGATTTACAATGGGTTGTCACTTCGTAATTCTATGTTGGGTCGTTAAAACAAACCGAAAAGAAATAGCCAAGTTATGTTGGGTCATTACTGTAATTATTTCGGTTTCTTGCTTGGTGCATCGCACATGGAGTAGGGTTGGGGTTATTACTTGATTATTTCTTTCGAGTTTGCAATGAAGAAGAGGTTATTGTTGGGTCGTTAATTAATTATTTTTACGTTTAGCCCTTTGTAAAAAGCTTGGGTCCTTTCTATTCAAAGTGTGGATTGGTAACCGGTTATTGTTGTTTGTTTTATAGGTGCTACAGCTACTAACTAGATAATATTTACATTTCTTTTCATGACTATCAACTTAGGTCCTGTGTTTTAACTATTATGATATCAACGTGTACATACAAGTAGTTGAAGATGATTTATGGTTTCTATGTGCATCTACACACATGTACATATTGGTCAAATTATTTGTATGTACATGTTTGTATCATACAAATGAATAATTATTAGAGTGTTCCTTACTTTTTCATTTTTTGGGTTTTTTCCTTGAATCCTCCCCCCTCCCCCCTCTTTTTATACTATATATGTAGGAGCGATCAAATGTAAACCACCTATATTTGTACAAACCGTGCAAACCGCATTCATCCGTCGATTTCATTGTTTAATCTTATGAAATTTTTCTATAACATTATTTAATCTTATGAAATTGTTTTATATAATACTTTGTTGATGAAATTGTTTCATATATGGTTATGAAATTATTTCATATAATATTTATGGAATTTTAATGAAACTGTTTTATGTATTTCTCTAAAATTAATATAATGAAGATGCTAATATACATGATTAACACCCTCTACAATAAAAATAATTAATCAACCTCTCATAATTACAAAAAAATGAAAAATTATGATTGGTTGAATAAGGTTTGTACAAATAATGTGGTTTGTAAAGTAAACTTTCTCTCTCTTGTAAAATGGATGTGTTCTCGTTTGAACTTGCATACATATATATGTATATATATTTATTGTGGAGAGTATGCATGTATATTTGTGTATACGGTGTAGCTGCTACTCGTATTTCTGTTTCCTAACGAAAGTGCAGTTATATTCAGGTGATGTGTGAGCATGCATCATGGAACATGGTTTAGGCATCATTTTGCGGTACCAATGTTTCATTCGCTACGTTCATGTAACATCATGTTATTCGATTTACTTCCATTATATGTCGTATATATAAGAGTATATGTTTGTGGGTCTGTTTCAATCATCGTCTGCCTCATGTCCCCAATCTTACTTAATTTGTTATTGTGCATATCAAGTAAACGAGACACACAATTTTTATTGATTAATTAACAAAAATACGATAATAATCTCAAATCATTTTATTAAAAATTTATGTTACTAAAATATGATATAATTTCCTCTCTGATCAAAAAAATATTTGAACATATATTCAAAAAATTTAATGCAATATAAAAGCAACCGAAATGGCATCGTTTAGCGTTTCATTCCATGCCATTGCCATGCCAAAAGGTCCCCATCTTTAAATATTATTAAAATTTTATTTTATTTCATTACTTCTGATTTTTATTTCGAAAATCGGAGTTTTACTGCTGATTTTGATCTACGATTTGGGATTATGTGAGATCAAGAGTTTTTCGTTAGATCCGTAAAATCAATTCTCAACCCTTGGATTAGATCTATAATCTGAACATTCATAATCACAAAATTGCCACGAGACTTCTCAATAATCACAAAATTGTCAACGTGCAACTTTAGACCATTAAATCATTAGTTTATAAATGAATATAAATTGGTCTTACGAGTCTCACGAAAAACCCTTGGTCTTATGTGAACCCAACTCTTTTATCTAGTGATACAAAAACATGCTTTAATTTTGTTTCTTCCCCCAAAATAACCCCTCCTTCAAGCACCAACCAACAAAACAAATTTGAGAAAACTCATAAAATAAATACGTAAACTCAAGAAAAACACAAAATGGAGCGTTAGAACTTCCACTTGTTTTAGTAGAGCAGTTATATTTATAATTAAAATCTATTTATTTATTTACTTTGCTTTATTAAATACTTATTGATTACTCTTCATTTTATTTTGTTATTATCAAACAGTATTTTTATAATAATTTATATTTTTTGAAAACAAAAAACAATCTTTAATCCATATACATTTAAAAAATAAAATAAAACATATACACATCTCAACCGTCTATTTATACTGATGAATATATAATTTCATAAATTATTTTCTATACATATTATGATTATAAAAAATGAACCATTATCAATTTTTATAAATATTTCAATTGATTGACTCGTATATTTTATATAACATTAACAAAGTTTAGAATCAAATATATATTCTAAATATTTTAGTTGTGAGTATGTATTTACAAAATTAAACGAGATTTATTTGTAAAATTATTACAAGGCTTTTTATGATTGAGAAATTGTGAAAATCGTTTTATTTATTTAAGAATAGTGTTAGTATATATATATACATCCATCCCCTCCCCAGAATCATAATCTCAAACCTGAATCTCTGTGTTTCACCATTGCTACAAGCATGGCTGCAACTAGGGTTTTTCTAATGGCGCTAATGATCTCGATCGTACTAGCCATCATTTGTCCATTTGCTCAACCTCAGTCGTTAGCCCCTGCGCCCGCTCCGTCCAGCGACGGTAAACATTTGTTGCTTTTCTCCTTCCATTTTGCTCGGTAATTCTGTTCTGTGTTTAAATGTTATATATACACAAATGTATTGGATTCTGTTGTTGTTGTTCATATGTGGATCTGATTTACATCTGTTTCTATGCTTGCCAACTGCAACAAGCATTCGAGCTTCTAGCGAAATCGATTTATGTTTAATCTCGCCTTCGTTAAACCCTAAATTAGTCTCTTGCTTAGATTCCTGGTTTTGTTTTAAGCAAATGTACGTTTAGATGTCTTCCACTTTGATTATTGATATGCAAATCATTTCCTAACTGAAATTCATCCTAATCATACCATTATACCCGATGTTTACTCCTTTCGAAATTAGTTCTATAGATGCGGATTCATCATTCCTTCGTCTTTTTCTTTTTCTTTTGCAGTTTTTTAGTTTTTATCTGCTCCAATACGCAATCACTACAAAATGGCCATAAGAGCAAGATTTGTCTTGCAATTAACAATATGTTTTAGAAGGATTAACAATCTCATACGCCCAGAGAGATTCAAGTCCATAATCTAAAACATCGAAAGACATTCGAGTCCACATTGGTTTTATGAATACCATTTTGGAGAAGGAGAGATTAAAGGGTAGTTTTTATTTTGTTACTATTGAGTGGTAGTTTGTGTATTTGATCATAACTGGCATATTTTTATCGAACTAATCTTCTTTTAAGTCTTAATTTATTCTGGGAGATGAAGGCAAAGGAGTAATATCTAATCTTGTAAAATGTGATCATCTTATCATCTAAAACCTGTGGAAGTAGTTGTTTCTTGGTTGGTTATTAATGCTTTCTTTTTGTTTTTGCAGGTACTTCCATCGACCAGGGGATCGCTTACGGGTTGATGATTGCAGCGTTACTTCTGACTTATCTAATCCACCCCTTGGACGCTTATGGTCTCTTTTCTTTGGATCGATGAACATTGATTTATCTCCGATTCTAGTGACCAATCATTGGTTGCAAACTGGTTTGATTTGTTGAGCATAACATTTTGAATAAATCATACCACCAGTTCTCATCTTCTAATTCAAGCAGCCGATTATTAGTTCCATTTGTTGTACTATTTTACTTTGGTCGTAGAAACATACCTTTACAATGGGTCCATTCCATTGTAAGTTATTCTGAAAATCCACGGTTACCAAAAAAAAAAAAATGTCATATCATATGAGCATAATTAAAGATGGTTTTAGATGTTGGTCTGTATAATTATACCAACTTTTCTTTAGAGATCCATGTTTTCATGATTGATTGAAGATTTAACCATCTACAGACAAAATATGTATGCTTACGAATGATTCTATATTTTTTAATTTTGATTTTATTAATTATTCATTCTCGATTTAAAAATAAGGTTTTACACCACAGGTATGTATGACTTGGAATCGACAGTTTTCATAAAACCACATAAATAACACTGAAATTTAATAGCAAAATAAAATATAGAGTATTAGTTAGTTTTTGTATATTTACCATGATATCACCAATAACAATAACAATAACAATAACAATAACAATAACAATAACAATCAACACCTTCCTCCTCCTGTAGTTGAAGTTTGAGTATTAGTTAGTTTTTGTGTGTGTAAAACATACTTGACGAACTCATAGAAGGATACTACGATAGCAACTGATGGCCCCGCACGTCCAACTCGAGCCCCGACTCCCATGAACAGTCCCTTCGTTCCTCCATCCCTGCTGCATGCTATTATTCCATCAACAAATGCTAATACACTTGTTTTATTTCAACCAAAAAAAAACAGCAAGTGTTTTGACCTCCATATTTCAACCAATGTTTGTCTCGTTGTCATCTTCAATGCTCGTACTTGATCTTTCTGAACAACATAAATAGAAACATGCGAGAGTCAAAGTCAAGTCCTATCAGTCCCCATAATTTATAACTATCTATCACGAGCTCGGAAATTAACTGAAATAGCCAACCCATCAACCAAATTCACCTTTTAGCCCTTTCAATCAATTGGCTTTAACGAACCTATTTCACGAATGCTGCTGCATACGAGACCTTTTTCAGAACCTCTTCCGAAAATAACCAGTCTTTATGCATTTGCATAAAGACTGATTTTTGGAGAAAGAAAATCGTTAAGCATATGTGCAAGGATTCTTTATGCAAAAATTTAAATATTTCCACAAAAAATCTTTTTTTTAATCTGAAAATCGAGTTTACGCAAATGCACCAGACATTTGCGTAAACTCTAGCTAAAATGGGAATTCAACTAAAAAAGTGGCTAAGAGTGAAGTTGGTTGGGGAGATAGGCTATTTTGGTCAATTTCCCTAATTTTAACAAAATATAAACATGCTTTCTCTATTTAGTGAGACTTGACATCATAAATGCCATACGTTAACTCCCACAAGTGGCGTCAACAAGTACCAACGTATTGAGCCAAAATTTATGTGATTTATGATTATAAAGGTCACTGGGGTTTTAATCATCGTCAAACTATTATTCTCATTCATCACTAAGATATCCGATCCTGATGCCACAAAGTTTTGATAATACCCCTTTAGCATCAACATACTCTTTACGGTAGATGTAAGGTTTGCGTATATCTTACCCCTAGACCCCACCTCCATGCAGGGATGGGCCCACTTTAATAGACACAGTGGCATATGTTTACTTCATGTGAGATATATTGGGCTCGTTTGGTTTGGTTTATATAGTTTTTAGTTGATATATATATATATATATATGTATAATCAACTCAGCTAGGATTTCTAATGAACATGTGAGGAGCTACACCTAAAGCATGTTACTCCAACAAAAGGTGAATAAATTAGAAAGATGTACCTCTATTTGATGCCGGGTCTTTGCAACGTCCAAGGGACATGTAGACGCACCTGCAAGCGATCCTGCAACAAAGCCAGCAAAGAAGTTTGCACCAAGAACAGTGACGGGGTTAGTTCCATCACCTGACATGGCTAATAGTTGTCTCCTGACCTGCAAAGTAAGCAAGAAGATATAGATTTCGATTTCCAGCCAATAATATAGATAATAATGGCAATGCTGCTGTAGGTTGCAACTCTCACAGGCTCAAGAGTAGCCCAGCAAATTGCAGAGAATGGAACATCACGAGCTAGTTGCGCCCCAAGGCCAGTCCATAAGAATCGAAAGCTATGTAAGGCTGCATAAGAATGTGTTGCACGATTACTTGATGATCAACAATGACTTCCAGACGATGAAATCATGCAGGGAGAGGATCATAATTGGTTTGTCCCGGTGAAAACCACATCGTGTAAAGGATGTGAATTTGTTAAGTGTAATTATTTGTAACTAATAAATTCCCTAGACCTCAAAGAATATGATGGAACACATATCAGCGACTTTGACATCTGTACAATGGAGTATCTTTGCAATCACATTGTCCACGAACTACGAGCAGCTATCTTTCTTGAATATACATACAGGTGGAGGTTCAAATAAGAACACCTCTTATGAATATGCAAGAACACCTTTATCACATAATAATACACATGAGGGGACCTGGTGGTGTGCGGACGACGTGCCCTATGACCTAGGTCGCGCCAAAGGTCATTTGTCTCTGATTTAGTATCACATATGATGGATTATATTATCAACACTCTTATCACATGTGATAATACAAGTGAGGGGGCTTGGAGATGTACGGACAACTTGGCCCGCAGCCTAGGTCGCACCAAAGGTCGTCTGCATCTCTAATGTAGTATCACATATGATTGACTATGGTAAAAGGGTGTTATCGCGTTCTCTTAAAATGAAGGTGTTCTCGTTTGAACCCTTCTCTCTCTCTCTCTCTCTCTCTATATATATATATATATACAAGGGCAGGTTCAAACGAGAAGGTGTCAATTTATATATATACAGGGGCAGGTTCAAATGAAAAGGCATCAATCTGCGAGAAGATGAGAAGGAATAGAGCCACACAATACATTAATTAAAAAATATCATAAATAAAAGATAAAAAATAATTTTAGAGATTAGAATAATTATCATTTTGAATTAGATAAATCCTTAAAAATCTCATTATACCTTTTAGATTTATTTATTTATTTATTTTAATTAATTAATAACTTTTTTATCAAGTTTAATATAAAAAAAAAATTAGATACACTTTTGATAAAATAATTTCATAATTTTCATCAAATATCACATGTGATATCTACCATCAATTCATATGTGATAATTGTAGATACTTTTGTTAATTATATGTGATAATCGTAGATATTTTTGTTAATCATATGTGATTATGTATATTTACATTTATAGATCTTTTTGTGATGTAAATATTATCACACGTGATAATACGTCACTTATATTCAGACGTATATATATTATTCATATGTTATATGTACAAAATTTCACATCAGCACGAACAATCTGAAATCTAAATTCCTCAGATCACCGTTAAAAGAGAGAGGAAGAGAAATCAGCGTTGTGAACCAGGAACAACTTACAACTTCGAAGGTTATTCGTGCTTCTGTTCGTGGAGACAACCCCAACTAGCGTCTTCCACACTCCCGGAGGCTTTTTAGCATGGAGGGTATCTTTAAATGCCTATCACAGAGCGAAAGAGAGATCCGGATAAAAGTTAGCATATTTAGAATTTTCATCTTATATGCCAAGTCCAGAATGTTCTATTTACATCACAGTAGGTGTTATTTCATCACAATTTTTCAATCTTTTTTAGTATATGCTTTAGGTAATTTCCTTTAACAATGAGCAATGAGTTTCGATATACAGGCCCACACAGACACATATGTAATGCCAATACAACTATCAAAACATGATATAATATTATTACCTGCATACGTGTTCTTGCAAGTTCAACAGGATAACAAGTAATACAAGCCAGTGAACGGGCAACAGAGCCTGCAACTAGTGGGACATAAGGAGTCATGCTTGGTGCATTTTGCGATGAAAATTCTTCCAAAAAATTGCGGAAAATGTCATAACAAGGCAAGTAGATGCCCACCTGGTAACAAGTATTTGCAAATCATAAACAAGTAATCATCGAAACAAAATCTTTTCCACCATCTCCTGAATAAACTATTACATGAGAAATTTAATACATGTCAAATGACTTACTGTGGGCACAGACAATGCTAAACTTGCACTTGTGCCTCTCCAGAGTCTGCCAAATCCTTCCTGCACAATTTAACTCCACTTTCAGACCAAAAAGGAATAGATTCTGGCATTTCGCTTTACACTATAGACCCAATGCCACATTGTTAATGAGAAAAAATTCTTACTCTAATGGTCCACAAAATAGGGAAGAAAATGATGATATGCTGAAAGACATAGGAGATCCAGTAAATATAAACATTCAGTAGCTAGATTCCTATCTGCTATACGTCAAAATGTAGCAAAATGTAGCAAACTGTAGCTGTTATTTCAGTTGCATGATAACATTCATAACTAAAAACAGCTAGCATGGATGATTTCTAACTCAACTCGATGGAATTGTTTGATCTTAAAAGGATCTTCTATAATGTTGCATAGGAGGGGTTATTTCTTGGTTTCGCCCCTGCCATTAATAACTTGATTATTTTTAGATAATAGTATATAGAAACAACATGAAGCCTCCTGCTTTTAAAGTCAAAAGCTCTCCTAAAGCTAGGAAACAACTAAAAATCATAAATTTCTCCCAACTTCATACAGTTTACCTACTTGAACAACCCCAGGAGGATAAGGCATATAATGAACACAAAACAACACACATAATGAAAATGTGCAACACATAAGCACAAAGGAAAAGAGTAGTATTAGACATTTAGACTTCAAAAATATATGATTCTTGCAATAATTTGAGTTCTTAAAGAGCAAAATGTGCAAACTTTACAGAATGAAATCCCTCTAACCTGACGTATAATTTTGTTGAAGACATCTAGAGTGCCCTTATATTGAGAAGAGTCTGGAGCACATGATGGTTTACCAAGAACTGAACGGTGGCATGATGGGAAACATCTTCTATCTGGCAACATCTGATCAACAAATTAGTAGCCATTACTTTTGTATATCAGAATCCCAATTCAATACAGTTTAAGGGTATGTTTGTTAGCAGCTTAATGAGCTTAATAGGACTCATAGCTTATTCGGTCCGCTATACATGACTATTTAGTAGTCTGTATAATAGTAGCTTAATTATATAGAAAGTGACTTATTCAGTTCTAGGTAGAGCTTTATGCAGAAAGAAAAGTTCTTTTTCAAAACTGGTCCCCCCAATCGGTCCTTCCATCTATAAGAAAACTCTCCCAAACAAAAACCTTCTCAATCTACACGGACAGATTAATCAACACAAACAACTTTATCCAGAAAGGACTTGATGGAAAACCAACCAACCAGCCCTTATTTTTATATGAGAATGGAATTTATGGAGGTTGGTAAAGTAATGATTCATATCAGAAAGATGAGACATAACAAGAGTTCCTGATACAATCCAAGAACAAGTGAAATCATGCCATAACAAATTGTCAATCAAACGATGAAAAAGAGGAAAATTTAGCATACCGTGTTAGTTTCAAAGGAGCATGTGTGGCTTAGATTCTGATAAGCAACACCAGCAGCCTGAGCTTGTAACCTTGTCTGCAAAATTAGTGGAGAAAAATTAGGCCTGCAATTTCAAAAGGAAGATGCTTATCAGCATCAAGTAAAGAGCGCATACGAATCGCAGCGAAATCTACCTTGGCGACATCGAGGGGGTTGACTATGATGGCGGATAAAAAAGCAGCGCCGGCGGCGGAGAATGCCCTTTCTGAGAAACCCAAATTGAAATTAGAAGATGGAGACACCATCGAATAATCAGAAACCTGATTGAACGTGTCAGTAGAAACTTTTCCGTGAAGATCAACTCCAGATGATGATGCGTCTGCGCTCATCGACGCCGACAAACGCAAACCCTGCCTGGATGAGGAGCTCACCATTCCTCGGACTACCACTTTCAATGGTAGATATGGTTATAGAAAATAGAAAATTGAAAATAATGGATGGACACGAGTGCAGGAGTTGTTTCACAAATTGTGAGGATCTGATATGTTCGACGTAATGCCCCAATGAAGAAATTGTAGAGGATCAAGATGAGGTCATCTGGTTTTTGCATGGAGAAAGACGAGGATTCGTGGCGTTGAACCAATCCGCAGACCACCAGATGTTGGGGAGGTGGCAGTGGCACCAACCTCCTCACTCCAAAATTAACACGTCATTTTGCCTAAAATGTGTATTTTTCATCTTTAGAAAGAAGTAATTTCTTTATTTTATAAATAAAGTAACAACTTGTCTCACATCACCAAGTAAAATCACTAGTCAATTTGCTCAATTTTCCCATCTAGTTGCATTTATAAATGACAAAATAAACAACACTTCTTGTTATGGACCATTTTCTTTTGCATCGGAGGTTCAACGACTAACACCCGTCTTTGACCACACTAACGTAAGTCTTCCAGTCGTCGTGTTGCCCTCTCATCACCACCCCAATCCACAATCAAATCGTCACGCGACGGTCAGATCGACCACTTCATCGGCATGCATGACCACCCTTCATTTTCTACACAATCCTACAACTACCAAGTAAACTGCCGGGTCTACATTGCCTAATGTTTTGAATATAAACCAAACCAAACCAAATAAATCTAGTATATATCATCTAAGATAAGACCTGAAAATGATAAGATGTATCCAGACCTGACCTTTACCTTAAAGAGTAAAGTGATGGTTTCTATAAAGACTCCCGACTTGTGAAAAGTGTGACAAAATGTACCACATAGAACGCGATAATCCAAACTCAATTCACATTAACCATGAGTTCCAATGCTCATCATATATATCTTACACAAATCATATTATCGGTATCTAGCAAGTAGCAGGTTCTTAATAATTACACTAAACACTATCGGTGGCCAGTTTCAAGGCATCATCTGAAACTAAATACGCATTTCAGATTCGCCACTCGAAATCTAAAACCACATAATCAGACCAAACTCTAAAATCTTGGGGACTCGGGTTCTTTCTTTCACCCAACTCCCAACCTAATCAGGTAGTTTTGTTTTCTCTAACGTTAGTATCGATTTTGGCTTTATCGTTGCACCAAAATTAACTAGAAATACCAAGTAAAAAAACAGGTACTTATTGTTTGTTTTGTTATAGGATTGACTATGACTAACGACTAGCCAGCAGCAACAGCATCGGCCCTGGGGCTCGAATCAAGGAGTTGACGCAACTTTGCACCAGAATCGGGGTCTTTGTTCACTTCGCTTTCTCCCTCGTTTCTAACCACACAACCAGAACTGTTGTCGACTCGAGAGAGGAGGTTAGCCGTGCTCAGAGATGAACCCGAACCCTTGTTGCACCTTGGATCTTCCATAACTCCTCTTTCTGTGTTCTTAAGTTTTTCCTGTAAAAAAGTGACATGATAAGAAAATAAGAAAACAACAATCACATAAAGACGTCATTATTACGTTTAATGTAATTTTATTATTCTTTCTACTCAATAAAGTGATACAGGTGTCTTCACGTGATTGATGGATGTGAAGGGGGCATGGGATTTGGGGTAGAAGATTCTTATTCGTTGATAAGGGGTATTAATGTAATTTGTAGCACCAGGTCTTACCATTAATTTGGCATTTTCAAGCTTCAGTTTCTCTGAATTATCAGTTAATTTGTTGATTTCAGACCTCAGGGTCAAATTTTCATTATTGAGGGCTTCAACTTTTACAGCAAGTTCTTCAGCTTCAGCCTGGATGAGGGAAATTTCAAACCAAACAGTAAAAAAATAAATAGATGCAGATCTATTAATATGGATTCATAAAGATAACACGCAATTTTCCAAACAAAAATTGCAATATTTCCTTCTTGGTTTTCTTCCAAATTAGAATTTCAAATTTTGCCCATTTTCATCGTAAGCAATGAATTGATGGCAGTGATTTGGGTCTCTGAAGTTGGTTTATTTCTATCCTTATTAATGGCATTTCAGAAATTCGAAATAGTCAAAGATGTACATGCTGCATGAGAATAATATCATAATATGAAAAATACGTCATGCCTGTTTCCTTAATCTCGACCTTCTGGCAGATTCTCGATTAGACTGCTTTCTCCTCTCCCTTTTCAGTTCTCGGTCATTCTGCTCATAATTATTCACATGAAACAAACTGTGAGTTAAATTTAGAGAGTACAATTTCCATGTAATTTGTTCTAAACTCTAATACTTTCACCTTTCTTTCTAGGTCAACATTATCCTAAGAAATTACAGTGATAAGACCCAAAGAAATATTACTTAGAATAACACAAAGAAAACAGCAAAACAAGCAGTAGTTTAAACTATGTTCGAGTGGTAACTCACTCTCCTAGAGGCTGTTTGGTTGGTTTTCCATCAAGTCCTGTATGGATAAAGATGTTTGTATGTATTAATTTGTCTGCATAAATTGGGAAGATTTTTGTTTGGGAGGAGTTTTCTCATAGATGGAAAGAGCATGTTTCTTAACTGGGAGGGGCATGTTTTGAAAACACTTAGCTTTCTGCATAAAGCTCTCTCCTAGAAGCATACAAAATAAGCCACTACCAAAGTACCAAAAAGTCATGTATAGCTGACCAAATAAGCTGCGAGTCCCATTAAGCTCATTAAGCTGCTAAAAACAGGCCCTAGTCTCCTTAGACGCTCGCTTGATTATTTTTATTGGTGATAAAAACTGGGCATATCCATTTCAAATCTCTTATCCCCTTATCGAATTCCTAATAGCCTAGTTTATGGAGATAATACGGTTTTCTAATATGATTACCTATCTTGGCTATAAGCCTATGATAGCCTAATTTATGGAAATAATCTGGTTAACAAATAAGATTACCTATTCTTGGCTAACAAGTATTAACATTATAGTTGTTTGATTTATTTCCTTTCCGTCAATTACGTTCACACCGGGAGCAAACCAACATGGGTTTAGACCAAAACATTAAAACGAACCTGCAGCAGATTCTCATTGGGTATCAAGGGAACAAATGATGAAGTCATGTTAGCAGCTGCAGTCGGAGAATTCTTGAGATTCAGTTCAGTGATTGGGTTGGCAGAAAGAACCCCTCCTGCTTTACCCGAAACCTTAGCAGAAGCAACAGCAACACCTGACGTTTTACTGGAAGTTCCATCTGCTCCAGTAGAAAGAAGTTCACCGCTGTGCGTTTCAGACTTGCCAACTGCAGCTGTTGGCATAAAGATTTAGAAACCATATAAACAAAGCAGTTTGAGCACAAGCTTGCAGTCGGTTATTACTCTTTCTCCATCAAAATAAAATATGGAAATTTCAAATGCTTCTGAGAGAGAGATTTGATTTATGTGGAACTTACGAAGAATAGGTGACCCTTCGTGGCTCCTTTTCCGACCAACTTGACCTCCCTGAAAGCAAGAAGCTTTAGTATCACTTGTGATAATAACAGATGAACAAGAATGTTCTGCAAAGGAGAAGTTTTCTTGTTACCTCAGTTGTATTCCCGTCACTTCCTTCACTGGAACCTTCAGTCTCGCCACTGTTTAAAGCACAACATGAATTACGTACCATTTATGAAATTTAAGTATTTGATTGCAGAAACATACTTGGATCCTGTTAAAAGGATTCTCAGGTACAATTAGAGCAACATCTACATCGATCAATATAGGCATGCAACTTCTAAGATGATGACAACAGATCAGCATCTTAGAAGATGCAGCATCGCCAAAGCAACTCATCATACCTGTGAGAGATCCCATTGTCATTTCCACCTTCAGCACCATCACCATTGCCATTGCCTATTGACATTGCCAACCCATCAAATCCTTTCAACTTCTTCATCAAGCCTCGATCAGAATCCCCTGATGACTTGGCAGGAGAATCAACGTTCAGAGGACTAGTTGCCTGCATTACCACAAAGACGAGTTTGATATCAATTGAGTAGGTAAAAGACGATTATCTTCCTTCTTAAATCACATAATACCAGTGAATGTGGTTCTCTCTTGAATCATTATATTCCAGCTAACATGGTTATTGGCCTATTGCAATACTAAATGCATGGCCGTGAGCTAAAGAAGGAGAATTATCTGCTCACTTGGTATAATATGTAGATTACAAAAATTTGAATTTGATGATTCTAGCATCAAGATCATCACGTATATCATATTAAAAGAAGACTTTGGTCATATCTGTCGGGTAGTGTTGTTATTAACTTAACAAAACAAGATTAAAAAGGATTAATAGCTATTAGGAACATCCCAATTGGATGTCAGGTTGAAAGATCATGCTCTTGTCGACTTCTACACTTCTGCTAGTGTTGAAATGGAACTCTTGACCTCCCATGAAGTTCCAAAATTCTAAGATTATATCTGGATTGAAAGACAACCATCTTAACAAAGCCAAGAAGACTTACGAGATGAACTCCAGGATGCGCATAAACACCTCCATGTGGATAGAATGCAGCATAGGGTGGCATCATATGCTGAATTTGCAAGGAGAGATGATGTTAGTAGGAAGGTCATGCTGATATATGTCAACATATGTACAGGATTGCAGATGTTAATATGATACCTGCGGAGGTCCCCACATATAAGGGGGAGGGCCATGACCAGCTGCAAGAGCTGAGTTGAAGTATGGCGGTACAGCCATTCTAGGGCCGTAATATGCCTGCCAAAATATATCTAAATAAGACTTGATTCAATAAATCAATCAATGAATTTTTCATGGTTGCACAGATGGCATGTATAATCAATTAACCTGCATGGCCATCCAATCGGGATACACATGAACGTTGGTCTGTTGCTGCTGTTGCTCCTGCTCCTGCTAGAGTAAAAGTTATAAACAGACAAATGTATGTCGTAACTAAAAGACAGAAAAGGAAGATTACGTGCAACAAGAAGTAGCACGTTGAACAACCAAAAGGGAATAAACAAACAATCATAAATGATCTCTAACCTGTTATTTTGCGTTTAGGGAGAACAAAAACAAATAGTACAGCAGGGGAAACCCACAAGATATACATCTATTGCAAGATATGAACAAAATTTTGGAGCTTACCGTTGGAGGTGAAGAGGATTTTTCAGGCTTACAAGGCTTTTCCTCTTCATGGATCCCCATGAGCTAGTACCTCAAACTGATTCAATGACGATGTGAGAAATCCTTGCTGTGGTTACCTATATAGTTAATCTAGCTAGATACTCGGTCACTCAGCTGCAAAACGACAAGCATGTCAATATAACAGGACCAGACGCCAGAAGACGGAGAAACTGCATAAACAAGATTATAGTCAACATGATTATAACTATTGCTATCAACTTGGGATGTACCAAAGAACAAATACTGAAAGCGACCAATCATCTTTTGTTTGCTAAAAGTACATCCCTGTCGCACTAAAGACATAATAACCTGAATTACTCTTATAATTCACCTATCTCCCATCCTTAGATATGGTTTGGTGATAATAATAAGTAATTAGTTAAAAGAAAATTCATCAAAATGTAGCAAGACACTAACAAAACTTCAATGATTATCTTTCTCTAAAAAGACCAACAATAAAAGGTCCAAGAGGTCAATATGAAAAATCCATCAGTCATATTTAGATAAGATGGCACCAGCCCTTACAATCAGGAAATTGAAGGTTTCATTAAAAAAAATAAGTAAATAAAGAAACCCCTCAGGGGATGGCCTAGCAGTCAATACCCTAGGGACTTGTGTCCAATGTGGCATGGAGCCCCAGGTTCTATGCCCACTACATCTATCAGTTTCTTTGAAGGTCAGTCTAATCGGCACGAAGGACTAAATTATCTGATTCATATAGAGAAGGTGTTCTGCGTGGACTCCGTGAACTAACTAGACGAAAGGTATCAAATACCATGGTTAAAAAAAGTAAATACACGAAATAATTGTCTAGGTTCTACTTGTGGGAAGTTTTTCCCTTCTCCCTGCAATCAGAACCCTAATAAATATACTCCCATACATCACCGAGTTGAATTAAGTTTGTTTTTGGAACACCTAATTCATGCCTTTCAAATGGGAATTCAGCCATAGACTGTTTACATCTCTAAGCAAACAAGCTTCCATTTCAATTCAAAACTTTCAAGTTCTTGCTTCTCAAAACTGCATAAGCAACTATTGGCATTAACTAAATTTAATTACTTCTCAGGACCATTTATTGAATCTTGATCCAGAACAAAAGGGGAAATCATTAAAAGTAAAGGCAACGGCATGGGATTACTATCCTTCCTAAGATCCGCATACAAGAAGAAAAAAGCAATACAGCACCCACCAAATATTCCAATCCAAGATAACCTGGTAACTAATTGCCAAAAACTATCCCCGTATCCAGAATAGTAGAACATGACAAAATAGAATTTTCCATAAATTTTTAACAGCTTTATCTATTTAATAAAAAGCATATAAAAATGTGAAGGAAAAACACAAGAACTTGATAATATCGCTATACTTTTCCATCTCTCAATCCGCTTTTTTTCTCAGCTTATTTTCCCCCAATTCTGATCTCTCTCACAATCACGCACATACATACAGACACATGCTCAGAAAATGCGATACATAACATAAGAAGCAAAAATATATGAATTCAAGCTAAATCAACAACAAAAACTAATAAATTCACGAATCGTAGACTCTAGACCTTAGAAAAACACACAAAAATTCAACTAAAAAAGGTTCAAAATCTGATTTGTAACAACTAAATTGCGTAATAAAAATCATCTGATAGAAAATCTAAACAAATTCAAGCTCGAAACTGAACATACCTAAAGTTCGAACAAATTCACTACAGCAATTTCTCCCTCTAGAACTTTCTCTCTCTAAAACAAGTTAGGGAAGAAGGCAGCACTCCACGTCATGAGACGCGTGTTCGAGTGTTAACGTGTATAAATATACGCTCCTCCTGTTTTTCAAGAGCTCAAACTCTATAACTCAGATTAGTTTACAGCTTTTGATGCAGGATGAACAAGTTCTTTTTAGAATATTGCTCTGGATTAGAGAACCATTAATCTGGAAAAAGAAATAATGTAAAATAAAAAGAAAAATAAAAATAATGTGGTGGTTGAGCTGGCCCATGTGCTGGCCGTCTTTGTTTTCGTTTAATTTAATATTGTCAAAACAAATTTACACTTCACTACCCTCAATTATTGCAATTATTTATGTTTATCTATTCTATTCTAATCCATAAATCTCTCTTTGGCACATATTTTTCATGTGAACAACTATATTATATAGTAAGCACCGAACGGTCATTGATAACATGAATTAAGACAAAACAAATGAGATGTTTTCATATTCGTTCATTTGATAAATGAACAAACTTTCGATTGAATAGTTCAAGTTGACAATGTTCGATTCGTTTATAAGCTGATTATTGATTTGATGGTATGTTTTATTGTATCTACTATTTTCATTTGAGAATATCGCTTTATATCCAAGAATGTTCTAGCTTTTGTCCATTTGGATGGCAAAACCCTTTTATTGTTTGCAAAGTTAAAGGGAATGAAAAAGTAAAATTTAATAGTAGAAGGTGCAGATTGGTTTAATTGCAAAACTTAGAGGAGGGAAGTCATCCAATCACATAACAACACCCAAACCGTACACGTACTCCAAACTCAGCCGATTAATATTCCAGCCACGTAGTCGAGGCCGAGGCCGAGTCCGATTCTTTAAAATTACAAGATTTTAAGATGTATTATTACAATGAATTAATCTGAATTTTTGTATAAATGATTGAACAGTTTATATCGAATATAAAAATCATATATTATAAACAAGTATTCACATTAAAATAATAGAATAAATCCAAAAAATTATGGAAAATAATCATTTTCAATATTAGGTTGTGTTCTAATAAGAGAAGCTGAAGGCATTCTACTATGCCCAACATTTGTGGTGTCCAAATCTTCATTTCTTTGGGACTCTTTTTCCATTTTTCCAATTTTTCTCATTCGAAAAATTCGAATTATTATAAAAATGATAAATCCTAATAACAACAACCCAAAAACACCGATACCAAATCCCATTGCCCACCATTTCCACAACCCCTTTACCCTCTCCTTGTTCTCTTTTGGAGCCTGTTGTATCGGTGGTGAGGTCCGAATGACGATAGAGAAATGCCCTTGATCTTGCACAATACACATATTTTGTAGGGTCATGTTGGTCATTTCAACCGTCCCGTCTAAATAAAACCGAACGCATTTTGGTTTTTCATTTTGTGGGAGTGAAATCTTGGGAAACTGAACCAAGATGGGGCCTCCGACTAGTGTGAGATTTAGTTTCGTTACTGGAGTGGTAAAATTACCAATTTGCCCGGTTGAGTTTCTTGAACCATAAATATTGAAGCCAACGACAGGAGCAACAAGAGTGTAATTTGGTACACTGTAGTAGTGAGACGATTCATTGCCTAGATCTGAGTAGACAATATCCAGTCTTGTGGAATATGGCTCAGTGAATATCTTTGGTGGCAGACGGAAACTGCTATAATTGGCTCCCTTTGCCCAAAAACTTCCCCTTCGTAGGCGAACAATTGAAACCTCGATACCTGTAAAATTCGAAGGCAAAGATGCATTGTATAGAACTCCCGTTCGAGGCCTTCTCGGTAGCGAACTCTGTGCATATACTTGAAAAATATCATCTAACGAACGAAGTGTAGAATTATCTGTAGATTGTATTCCTTTCAACGAACATAACCAACACAACGTCACACAACAGGCAACAAAACTTGCCCCAAACCCCATCAACTCGAACCACCCTTTTCCGTGTGCTTTAAGTTGACTTCATCGGAAAAACAGGGTCTTTGCAAGAAAGTTTCTAAAAGGAAGAGATGAATGGGGGTATTTTGGGAATTAGAGAGGGTTTTCCTTTGATTGTATGAGGGGGTGAGTTTGTGATTGGGTGTTATGAAGAAGTTTTAAGAGGTTGGGGGTGCCACCTCAAAAGCAGACTTGGTTGAGTTGTTCTACTTTGATTATATGTTGACAGTTGGATTATAATTAAGCATGTATGTATATGTATGTATGTATATATATACGAGAGAGATTTTAATGTAGTTGGCGACGGTGCCAACGAGGTTATAATTGGAATTTGGACACACTCACCTGGATGCTTGTGATTTTTAGTTATTAAATATAATTATATAAAAGTTAATACGTTAGTTTTTATTAATTATAAATAACATTAAGATTATATATTATATATAGTAAATAATAAAATTTGTTGATTTAGTAGAAATGGTTAAGAAAATTTACATCTTATAATGAACATATTCGATGAACTTAATCAGTAGTAAAAGACTTTTGAAACTAAAGACAAGATTAAAATAAATATTGATATGAATTTTCTTTCTCCAACCTGTGTAAATAAGTGTATTGAAACTACTAATAATCGATATTCAATGTTTAAATCTTATAATAAAGTTATAGATATATTTATTATTTTTTTTCTTTGATCTCTTGAATCATAAAAACCAGTAAACTAACCACTAAAAATCTTGTCTTACTTGTACTGAAAATGCCAAAACCTTTGTATTTATGATGACTTTAGACTATTCATGGTCTCCCGATAAATTAGTCAGTATACATAAAATGTTTTCATATACTCACAGTCGTTAAAAGAAATAATTTAAAAGTTTTTTTAAATGTTTTTGAGAAGGGTATATTTGTCTTTTTATTTATTTATTTATGAAGTGGGAGGATATTTCAAGATAGAAGGGGGGGTTGGAGACTTAAAACAATTAATAATTGCAAATTTGTAATTTAATTGGATTTGATTGGTCAATTGCCGGCAACTTCTCTCTACGTTTGGACCCAATTCAACACTCCCTTTTAACGATTATGTATGGATTAGTAATTTTAACTTGTCTCCTTACAAATGATCACAATAAATTATTAGATGATTTTCATTCATTCTTCAATTTAATGTGAAATGAAAATTTAAAAGCATGAATTAATTATATCATATAAAACTAAACAATTTCTTTTACTTTTTTTTTTATTTTTATCAATTACTGTTTAATATTTAATACCTCTAACCAAATACCATGGTTTAAATAATTCTTTATGGTCTTGTTATGACGTTTTATGGTGTCAATACTTGGATTTTTAGCCACGTTAACCTCTATGGCTCCACTATAACGTTTTGGCTTGCATTGTAACGAGTTTGTTACTTTAATATATAACTTGAGGGATGAATGATAACTATGTACAAGAACTAAAAACTTAAAAGTTGATTTTTTTGGATCTTGACTGGTTATTTATCAACAAATCTTGACTGTTTTTTTTTTTGGAACTTGACAGATTATTTATCAACATCAACAAATTATTCTTTTAGATGGGTTTCAAAGCATGACCACTTCATTGGTGGAGGTGGACGATAGAAGGAAGACAAAGAGGTCGGTTTATTGGTGATATTGTGTGGAGTTCTCTTTGTTCGTTTCATGATCGATGGTTAAGAAGGTAAGGGGTTTATGGTGGAGGGAGGGTCTCTGGAGTTCGTCGGTGGTTGTGGAGGATTGTTGGAGGTTGTCACCCAAAGATATGAAGGGGACGATGATGTGTAGGAGGGTTACCATAAATTGTGGTTGGAAGAGATGATGACGGTCTTCATGCAGTTTTGGTCCCTGTGCATTGTTATATAATTTACAATTTCTTTTTAAAAAAAAATAGGAAAATGTATAAACTGACTAATACCCTCTCAATTAAACTATTTTACATATCTTTTTAATGGTGTTAGGGTAAATGGATCAAATGCATGTGAAAATGTAAACTATATGGATGTTTTCCATAATTATTTTGATTTAGGGACGCACAATATGATTTTGTGTAAACTATATGGACGAATCATGTAATTTACTCCTAGAATAATCACTAAAACTTTAATATTCTAGAAGAGAGATATATTATTTTAATTATTTCCGAATTGAATGTTTTGTAATTTTTTTATGAAATGTATTGGAATAACACTTCTATAAAATATTTTAATAATATTATGAATACTAAAATTATTATATAAGAAAAGTAGTTGCTAAAGTTAAATATAATTTTTTACAATACAAGGGACTGCTTGGTTCAAGTTGAGAAATAGAGATGGCAAGAGGGCCGGGATATCGGGGATCACAATTCCGATCGCCATCCCCATTCCCATCAGGGAATAAGATTTCATTCTCATCCCCATTGAGGAAAGGTGATTTCATCAGGGAATTGAAGATTTTTTCCCAATCTTTATTGAGAAATGAAAATGAAAATGATAGAGAATGAATTTTCATTTTCATTTTCATTCATCCAGTTTAACGATGAATGTAAATTTGGAAATATGCAAGAATAAACTCATTATATTATATAAAATCATTTTATTTATTTATATTTATATTGATTAGTGATTAATATTTTAAACCAAACGCACCTAAATCTTAAATATTTAAAACACTATTGCAACATATTCTAACAACATGAGGCCCAATTACCTTTTAATGCCCAATTTTTTAAGGCCCAATCCTGAGGAACCTATCTAACGTGGATCATGAAGATAGGAATGCAACCAATCAAAAGGTTCCATTTGTCCACGTGTCACACTAAGAATCAATTGCTGTTTTTCAACAACAAAAACCAAAAAGAAAAAGAGAAAGACGAGTGTGGATAGCAGAAAGAGTTGTGAGGTCGGGTTGGATTCCAAGAATTTTTGAAAATGGCGACGGCGTTTGCGGCAGCAACTTCCTCCACGGCCATCGCCGGTGTCTTACCTCGTCTTCCTACCACCACCACCACTCCCCGTTGCTCGGCGTTACCACACCTACCAGCTCGTTCGTTTTCGACTTCCATCAAACAGGTTTCAGGTAACTTTGTTATCAATAATTCTCTGAAGCATTTCGTCGAACATTTATTTTATAAGCGAGTATTTGGACTTGTCTTACAATTGTAGTTAAAGAGTCTAAGCGAGCTGGATAATCGTGGTTCTGAATTAATTAGAATTATCTGTGAACGACTACTTGTGCATTTGATGTTTCTCTTACACTGTTGTGCGATTTGTATAACAGATAGTTAGATCTTTCAACTTCAAATTATATATGGAACTGATTTTATATTTATAGATAAATTCAATACTGTATTGGCTATTGCATTGAACCTTGTAAAGAGTGATTAAAACTAGAAACGTTTGGTGTTAGATTTGTAACAAATTCATATCAATGTTGAAGCTGATATTCAGTTTGATCCGGTAGATTGACGAACGTTTACTGTCTGAAGTTTCTTTTTTTTTTTTTTTTTTTGGTTTTTGTTAATGTTCTTCAAAATCTGGTAGAGATTAGAGAATCATAAACAATCATGGAGTTTACAAAAATTACAAATTTGACAATCTGCTGAGAAAAATTTCATTTCCTTTGATAAGAGAGCAAACCTTTGGATTTTTTGTTGCTTGAAGTTGTTTGCATTTGTCTTACGAATCATGACACCGTGTCACCAAGTATTTTCATAGTCTTTGTTGTTCCTTTGCATTTCCAGTGTCACGAAGGTCATCTGTGTTCCAGATCAAGGCCTCAGAAGATGCATCATCTTCTGCTGATCCTAATGAGTTGTTCAATGACTTGAAGGAAAAGGTCAAGAATTGGATTTTCAACCTTTTATATTTTGTCCTCATCTCCTTATCGCATCTTTTTCTGATTGCATCCTTCTTGTTTACAGTGGGATGCACTTGAAAACAAGTCGACAGTTATAGTCTACGGCGGAGGAGCAGTTGTTGCGATTTGGCTATCTTCAATTGTTGTTGGTGCCATCAACTCAGTGCCATTGGTATGTGATCTGATTATCACCTAAGATGGTAAAGTTTTTGGGACTAAAAGAAACATGAACAACACATATAGAGAGTGGCATATTGTGTTGGCACTTCATGCTTATTCTCTGATCAATTTTCTAATGTTTTCGTAGCTTCCAAAGATCTTGGAGTTGGTAGGACTTGGATACACCGGATGGTTTGTCTACCGATATCTTCTGTTCAAGGTAAAATTCTGCATTTTTAGGTCAAGTAACTTATCTCAAGCACCCTAATGTAGAAACTAAAGATACTGAAAATATGCTTTCGGTCTTAAAAGACATGTTTATATCCTAGTTGGTACCCATGCAATGCAACGGGATGTGAAATTTTAATAACCTATAATAGAAATTTAATGTGATCGCTCAATTAAAAAGAAAATATAAAGTTTATGGAGTATTCTACCATATTAGTATGACATATTGCATCTCAATATGTTTATCGGTTGGTTATAAGTTAGTTTGATGGGGGTTCAAATGTGGAGTTGTAAGAAGTTATATGCATACAATGATAAATTGTAAACTTGAATATTAAGAGATTTTAAGAACATGAGTGTATGCTTTATAACATAGTAAAGATATTTATAAACGTTATAGGATAATCAAATGCCAACATTCCTAGATGCATTTTGTTGTGATTTGAATAGGACGACATTGTAGGGCGTAAGTAGCCATATTTAGCTTGAAAAGGCACTGATATTGCGACATTATCTGTATTCAGTCGAGCAGAAAAGAGTTGGCAACAGATATCGAGTCCATAAAGAAGAAGATTGCAGGAACCGAGTAGATGGTTATTATGGTTGGAGCAAAAGTTAGCGATATCATGTGTTAATCGGTTTGAATTTGAATTTGAATTTGAATTTGATTTTCTCCCTTGTTTTTGGAAATGTACAATATAGTCTTGGTTATGTGATGCAGTATAGGTTTTTACATGTAATATGCATACACCTGCTCTTGATTTCTTCCTTTCTTTCCAATAAAATTTGTGTAAGTTAGTAAGTAGTGTCTTTCAATCTGTTTGTGGATTTTTCATGAAGATATTACAAGATAAAGGGCTGTGTTTTCCATCCATATAGATGGGTTCATACGAGAAACAATGATCAATAAGAGAACACGAGAACGGCTGAATTATGTAATTTTACACTAAAATCATGTGTGATATGTGATTCACCCACTCATGTTGTACACCCACAGATGCTACATATTTGCAACTGCTCTGTAACCTCTCTTAAGCGTCCAATAATTACTCATAATTTTTTGTTAATTTCTCCGTGTTTATAACCTTCAATTTTCAACCAAAATCGTTAGTGTGAATTTGAGGTTATTCTCGAGAAAATTTCGTGCAATCTAAACACATAAAATATCAAAACATTTCTTAAGGAAATTAAGTGATCTTACATGACATCAATCTTTTATCAAATTATTCACATTTCCTAGTAGCAGCGTCACCTATGTCCCCAGGCTACATCGGGTTGTTTGCTTTCAAGCTTGTGATCTTTTAGGATGTTGACTTTTGTAACTTATAACTCATAATAGCATCTCTAACAAATTCTTAAAAAAAGAGATTTTTGCTTCAATAAATTCCCCAAAAACCATGTTCAAAATGAAAAAAATAGGAGAGACAAAGGGTAAAATTCTCCAATTCTTGAAATTAAATATAAAGAAGATAGAAATAATATTTAAATAAAGAATATTATAATTGATTTATGGAAGAGGTGAATATTTTAATAAATAATTAATTAATTTTACAAACATCAACACGAATCAAGAAACTGTGGTTTAGGGGTATTTGATCAAAGTCACTTGTACATAAAGAAAACCCATATCGAACAACAAAGATCCAGCAGATGAAGTAGACTCAACTCCCGTTTCATTTTTATTTCAAGATCTACAAGACCATAAAAACAATTTGTACTAAATGAATCCAAACAAACCCAAATACAAGTTTCAATGAACCAGTCCGTCATCCAATATTTCATAAACACAAACCTCGATACAGCCACCATCAACGCCCTTAACCACTTAAAGCCTTATATATATATATAGACTCCGGGAATTCCCAGATGAAAACTTGTTCCATTGCAGATTGATGCTTGAAGAACTTGAATCCCAAATTGTTGCAAAAAAACTATGGCCTTGAAGGAGAAGGAGATGTTGGAGGCTTCAGATCAGGGTACTGCAACAATATCACAAAGTAAAAGATTTAAAACACAAACAGTTAGCAGCGATCAACATCGACAATTAAGTGCTCAAATTGGATCTTCAAACAATAAGTTTTTAAGGTATTATGATTTTCATCATTTGGGCCGAAAAGATTGAAACTATAAATGATCTTTAAAACTGTGTTTTTGGGCGAAAATTAGGCGTTCGAATCATTTCTTTGATCAGAAACGTTCAGGTATAGTGACTTTTGTCATTTTGAGGAGCCATGTTGATGATGCATACGACTTCTTGTTGGCTCAAGCATGCACTCTTGTCGTGCTTTCTGCGGTTGCAATTTTAGCACATTGTTTGCATCATTACAACAAAATCGACTTTATAGAACATTCAAATATGTTTAAATATCCTAATAGACGACTTCATATGACTTGAGTTTATAGGATCAAACAATTATGCATCCTATGGAAATGTGTTACAATAAGTTGAAATGACGTTTTTGGGGGTCTTAACAAAGCTTTTTAGGAGACATAAAACATCCTATAACTATTTTTATATGAGATTATTTGAAAAAATGTCTTATAAAAAGATATGTTTATATGACAGTTCTCAAAAGTGTCCTGTAAAAAAAGCTAATAGGACACTTTATTTCAAAAGTGTCATAAAAAACTTATTAGAATGCCCAAATACGTCATAACATCCTATTGTAACACCTTTACATAGAATCACAATCATGTGATCCTATAAACTTAGGTATTGTAAAACAGTATGTAGAACATTTAGATATATTTGAACTCCTATATAAAACTACTTATTGTAGTGCATGCACTTTTGAAGCCAAAAGGGCACTTATAACTACTTGCTAAAGGTGAAATACGAGAACTTACATAAGGGTACGGTGAAAGTGACTGTCGTGGTTTAGGAACTGCTTCTTCTTTGATTTCGGTTGTAGCGGCTAAGTTGACTTGTGTTTCTGGCTCAGCTGGTGTTTCTGGCTCGACTGGTATCTCTGGCTCAGCTGGGGTTGCTGCTTCGGGTTGTATCTTTGGTGGGGCAGAGCTAGTGGCTGCAACAACGGCTTCTTGGCTAGCCGTTGTTTCAGGAATTGATTTGCTGGTCACAGGTGACGGTAAAAGTGCTTTCCCAATATCCTGAAGTCTTAAATCGTTTAATCACATTTTAAAAACCAGAAGTAAAATGAATACAAGTTTAAGTACCTTGATGTCATCTAGAAGATCTTTGGGTCCGATTTTTATGGTCAAGAATTCTTGAACTTCTTCAAGAGTTTTTTTCCGATCCTGCCATGGAAATCCGTACACAAATCTTTAAAACTACAAAACCAACAAGGCCAAAAGCGATATTTCACAAGAGTCTTGCTTTCGGTTACTCCTACTCCTAGCATACTCATGATCAAATGACACTTATTGTTACAACCCGTCTCACATCAAAAATTAGATTTGTGAGCCCCTTATAAGCTCAACTCTGTGGGCTAACAACAACTGCCACCATGGTTTTAAGTTGATTTGGAGGTTATTGGGCCAGCTTGCTGCTTTCGGCTATGGGGCTTTACGAGATTTCACCGCAGAAGTCAAACAATGGTATGTATAAGCATAACCTTGTTTTCATTGAGAACCGGGGGACTGCCGACAGCGTGACACGTGGCATATTCATCAGGAATATGGACGTGTTATTCATCACAAATGTTGTAACATATTCATCATGAACTGGGGGACCGCCCACTCCGTGACAATTGACAAACTCATCAGGAATATGGACGAATTATTCATGATGAATTCATCCTAAAGAGGAACACGTGGCGAGCTGTGAGTGGTTCCCGGGTTCTTAACGAAAGAACTTTCCTCTGTATAACCAAGAAAACATGACATGAAAAAAAAGACCTCTGCAAATAGTAACTTCTTGCTGACAAGTTGCACCAATGCAGCAGAACCCAAGACCTCGAGTATTGTTTCAACCTGAAAACAATGAGAAATTATGCACACCGAGTTCAATAGAAATTCGAAAAGAAAGAAAAAGGTTCGTGTTCAAGATCCTAACCTCGGTAAATGCTAACAAACCTAGTCCGGTTGCTGCAGCAATGCCAAAAATTACGGATACAGCATCAGAACCGTCCTGAAAATCGACATCTTTTCTTACAAACAACATATTGGAAACAACAAGAGGGGGTTAAGGAGGCAAAAATGTCCCAAATGGTAGACCTTGGCTCTGATACTATGTCAAAATAGGTGGAACCCCATTTAGATTACTCACTAAGGGAGCATTTGGTATCCAGACAGACAGGACAGAATCATCTATCCAACGTTTGGTAAGACAAAACTAATGACCAATTTACTCTTAATGTGTTGTTCATATCTTTTATATAATTTGATTAATTTATGTAATTTATCAAATTATAATAAAGTAAAATTTATTAATGTTTTATTTTGAGGTAATATTGATTATGAGTATCTCTATCAAAATATGCCCTTGAGGAAAGAAGGGAGGTTCCTACATATATAAAGGAGAAATCGTCCAAGTCTAGCTGATGTGGGACTTATGGGTGATTAGGGAATCCAAATATGCTAACATTCTCTTTCAACAAGTATTTTGAACATTTAAGTCATATACATTTACATAATTGCACTAAAGATGTGTTTATATACGAGATACATACACCGAACAAGCCATCGATTGCATCAGTCACACCGCTAAAGTCAAAAGCGAATGATTTTTGAGGTAATATCCAAGGAAGACCGCTGTTCTGTACACAAAATGAGCAAAAAGTCCAAGAAGAAGAGTGAGAAAATGGCGCTTGGAGAAACTAAAAGAGATCGGAGGAGAGGGATGTAACGAACCATCCATCCTCGGGATCCTTCTGCGCCATCTTTTATAGCGTAAGCAGCTTTGAAGCCGTTTACTGTGACCAACTCTGCAACAAGTTCAGAACTCCCATCGAATCTGGCTTCAACTCAAATTTCACAGATTTCGTGTGTTAGTTTCAGAAAAGAAGGAAAAAAAAGGTAATAGAACTCGATAAAATTCTTCAAAATGGTTCCTAAGTTCTAAGAGGAATTCTAGTGATGAATGACCAATGCATTCACATGTGAATATTTTGAAGAATCTTCTAATATTCAATCACTCAATTTCATACGTTTTTTTTTTGCATTATCTTGAAAATAGGCCAAGGGGATGTTTGGCAAATGCTTAATGATATAGTGCAGAATGACAAATAATTGTTTGGTAAGTGTTAACGGTCCGAATGACTAGAAAACTACCATTATAACCCTCTATATGATTGATGCAGTTTGTTTCTACTTTCATTGGGATTTCTTACATTATCTTAAAAATAGGCTAAAAGGAGCAGTTTGACAAAAATGGTCAGAATGATTAAGATTTAAGATGCTTTAGTAGTGCAGAATGACATATGAGTGTTTGGCAAGCGTTATGAATGAGTGAGAAAGACAGAAAATTACCATTTTGACCCTATGTATGATGGATGCTTTCATTGGGATTTCTTAGATTATCTTGAAAATAGCCTAAATTAACGGGCAATTGATATTTTCATACAAACAAACCACCAATTATGACAAAATCATATCGAGCATCTTTACACCAAAAAAGAATCAATGGTTCCTTCTAGACTTTACATTTCCATAACTTGTCCAAAATCACTGATTTTTTTTCCTTTTAGCAAACCACCATAGTGCTTTTCTTGCATTTTTAACAACCATTTTCTAATAAAGAATCAAGTATTGAAAAAGCTAAATTGACCACAAAATTTAACCTGAAAACAAGAAATTCAAGAACCCAAATCACTAAAAAGAAAGATGGGGTTTTTATTGCCTTACTTGTCCAAAATGAACAATGTGGTATTCTCTGGTTCCTTGAACTTTAAACCCAATTTCTTCAAGAACCCTGTCTTATCATCCCCATTATAAGAAACCCTAATTGGTTTCTTCTTCAAACCCCTAATATCTGGACTACCCACTTGCCTGATTTCTGAAACAGCCCTGATATCAAGCAATTGAGCATTTCCATCGTCACCCAATTTCTCATAAGCACTTTTTGCAGATTCCACACCCCATGGCTTTGGCTTTCCAAGAAATTGAGATACAATCACCGGCACCGCCAGCACGGCGGCTCCGGCAGCTAGGAGTGCAGGATTCTCCACCCCAAAGTTGATTATGCCGTCAATTACACCACTGACATCAAAATCAGGAGGTGAGAATGAGGAATCAGAAGAAGTTGTTGATTGATTAAGTGCTTCTTCATAAGTTAGGGCTTTGGCAAAAGCGGAATTGAAAATGGATGATATAAGGACCAAGCTTCCGCCATGGAAATGGGGTTTGGAGATTTTGAGGTGAAGATTTGTGGGGAAAGATGAGTGCTTTTTGGGTTCTGGTTTGAGTACAGAAATGGGTTTTAGGGCAACTGCATTCAGAGCTTCCATAGCATAATTGTTGGTGTAAGAAGTTTGATTGAAGGTGGTTAATCAGCATGAGAGAAGGGTGTGTGTGTTTTGATTTCTTGAGTTGGTTGGGATGCTGAGGTGGAAGGAAATTTGAGAAGGCAACCAATGAGGGAGTGACATGTGGAAATGAGGATCAGAACTTTTGGTGATCATGTTTTGGGTTGTGGTGGGATTTTGTGTGGTGGAGAAATGGGGTGGTGAAGCCATGAAGGAGGTTCTGGACCATTGCCGGAAGTAGGTGAAGGAAAGAAATCTTAATAGAAAATATAATATTAGAAATTTGATCAAAATAGTCTGATTTTATATCGAATATTACTCACTTTGTAAGATAATTTTTATTTTAGCCAGAATTTATGTAAATATTTTTGGGAAAATTGCATTAAAATGAAACTAACTTTCATCTGATTTTTATTTCGGGGAACTAACTTTCAAAATCGTCATTTTAGGAAACCAACTTTCACCTGATTCTTATTTTGAGGAACCAACTTTCACCTAATTCCTATTTTGGGGAACCAACTTTCAAAATCGTCATTTTGGGAAACCAACTTGTACCTGATTCCTATTTTGGGGAACCAACTTGCAAAATCGTCATTTTAGGGAACCAATTTGCACCTGATTCCTATTTTGGGGAACCAACTCGCAAAATAATTATAGAAAAATAACTAAAATTCATTTTTTTTTCAAAAATTAATGCAAAAAAAATATATTTTTCATTTCAAATTTAGTTTTTTTTAATTCAGATATCAAATTAAAGATTTTTTCGAAAAAAAATCCAAATTACCACGATAAAAATTATTTTTTACTAATTCAATAAAAAAATCAATTTAATAGCAAAAAATTAATTGATACAATAAAAAATAAATATTAAATATCACATTCAAGATTTTTATATCTAGCCAATCTGTGTCAATATTAAAGTTTAAATCAAATTTGGCAAATCCAACTAAAAGTTTGATAGAGACCCTTAAATTACYTGTTACCTGTTCAACAAATCAACCAAACCCTTAAATAAACAAAAAGTTTGATAGAGACCCTTAAATTACYTGTTACCTGTTCAACAAATCAACCAAACCCTTAAATAAACAAAAAGTTTGATAAAGACCCCTAAATGATGATTTTAAAAGTTGGTTTCCCAAAATAGGAATAAGGTGAAAGTTGGTTTCATTTTGATGCAATTTTTCCAATTAATATAAAAATTGAAAAAAATAACATAGATTTGAGTGAGGATCCATATACTCCATACTAATTTGCTATTGATTGACTTTATGAATAAGACATTTATGTAAATTCTTACAAAACTAAGAATTTGATTTTAAATGGTTAAAAGGTGAACTTTGTTGGAAACATTAACTATTTTAATCAATTTTCCTATAATTTATATACAATATGGAATTTTTTTGGAGATAAATATCTACTTATCTAACCAATGATAACTTTATTTCATTTGATTATTGATTATGATTTTGATATTACTAGAAACAGACATAGTAAATAGATCATCTGATCAGTCAATAAAAATAAGTAAATTGATAAGGATTATATGCATGTAATGTAAGATTAATGTAACATATCCAATAAATCTCATATAAAATAAGGTTTGAAAATGATAAAATGATTTTTTCTCCATCCTAAAGAGAAAGGGTTGTTTTCAATTCATGAACTTGAAAGAAAAATCTTTTTTTTACAAAAAACGTTTTGAATTTGTTTTTTGGAATCTTAAGTGGCCCCCCCAAAAAAGGACGTGAAACAAGAACTGAAGTCTAGAAGAGATAAAGATGAGCATGTGCACATAGTAAACAACGTGAAAAAGATACTAAAAATGACTTTTGACTTTGTGGCATCTAATAACATTTTTAGAGGTCAGAGAGTTCCAACATTCATCGAGTTGCAACTATACAAGATTAAGGAAATGAGCATTCTGCTTTACTCATCGTTTGTGTCCGTTAATAAAAACGTGCAATAATGGACGAGCACCGGCCTCTTTAATTGTCGTTTTTGTTTTGATTCCGTCCGATTTAGCCTATATTATAATGTCTCAAGATTTTTGGCTCGCAATAAAGCTAGGATCTGGTTCGTGCAAGCTTTTGGTTCGGTATGTCGAGTTTCTAAAACAATGAACCAAACAGAAGAAAATAAACTTGAAGTAAAAACCATTATACACCAATCTAAACAAAAGCTCCTAATAGAATGACATTTGATCATACATTTACTTCCTATGAAATATGAATCACAGAAGATCGAAGAAATAATCTAAACCTTGACCGATTTCCCAAATAGAAATACCAGCGCCCCATGAACGAGCTTCATCCAGCCGCCTTGCAATCGACAAAAGGGATGGGTAGAAAACAGCATGTCGGTTTTCATCTGAATAAAAGAAGAAATGCTCTTCACTTTTCTTCTCCCATTGCAGTTCAGGCTTATGCTTCTCCAACAAAGAAAGATAGTCTCTTCCAAGAATAGCCCCACCACCCAACCCTGCAAATCACAAAAACAACCAACCGGTTTTATTTTCATTTCTCATGGCAATTTTCGTTGTGCTTTGGTGGCAAGATGGTTCAAACGCTTGAACTCGTGACAAGGTAACCGTTTATGGGTGAGTTATGAGCACCGAGTAGAAGGTTGGTATTTCTACAATCAAATCCCTTTGGTTGAACTTTGAAGTTTCCTAAATGTTTAAGTTGGAGTAATGTTCTTATAATTGTATCTCATTATTGAGCATATTTAGTGTTGTTGGCAGCTTACTGAGCTTAATGGGACAAACAACTTATTCGGTCAACTATACATGACTGTTTGGTAGTGACTTAGTGATATAAAAAGCGGCTTATTCAATAAGCTTCTAGGGGAAAGCTTTATACATAAAGCCAAGTTTTTCCCATACTTGCTCCCCCCGATTAAAAAACACTCTTTCTATCTATTAAAATATCCTCCTAAAAAACCTTTTCGATCTATACAAACAGATTAATCTACACAGACAACTTAATCCATACAGGACTTGATGTAAAACCAACCAAACAGCCCCTTCATCATATATAGTACATATATTATGTGGGGTAGGTTCCGTTAGAAACCTCGTTTTCATTAAGAATCGGCATAACGCGACGTGTGGCATATGCATCAGGTATATAGACGTGTTATTCTTCATTAATGTTGTAACATATTCATTATCAAAGTGTTATTCTTGATGAATATTCATCCAGAAGAGGAACATAGCGTGCTGCAGGCAGTTCCCGGGTTCTCAACTAAAAACAGGTTCTCAACCGAACTTTCCACTATGTTGGTAACTTAAACGCTAGGGACTAGTAAGAATCTAACTGCAGTTGACCCAGTCAACCGCCTGAAATTCCAATGTCACTACCCATCTATATTAATCCTTAATCTAGTTTTCTTCCTTGAACAATATTTTTAGTAGAACCTATGAATAAGTAACTTGATGAATAAAGATCAACTAAAAGTGATGAGCAGGTATAAAATGATAAATACCTCCTTGAAGAACAAAATCATTCCCGTAAAAGTTGATGCCTAGAAATATTTTGTGAGATAAGCTCCGAGAGCCACTCGTGTGGGTACCAAGGAGCAGCTGCATAGTAGCATGGACCCACTTGAGTGGTGCATTGGGACCTGGATTTTGAGGACTTGAGAAATCATAAGTCATAAGGGAGTAACCATCAACAGCATCACCCAAGCTTTGCAGATCCTCAGGTCCAAAATCGTACTCCTGGAGCCTATCTGAACGTGGTGGACCAATAACATATACTAATTGCAGACTTCGGTCACTAGTATGCATGGCTTGTCCCAATGTTCTAATGAACCGCAGTGCCTGGCCTTGGGAACATGTTTAATTAGAATTGAAAGTTAAAGATCAAATGCAGTTCCTAGCCTTATAAAGCATTCAGATTTCATTGAAATTGGAAAAGTAACGGTTTCGAAGAAATATAACAGGAAATAAACGCTGCCGGCTTCTAGAAATTACCAACAAGAAAGGAATTCTAAGATTTATGCTTCCATGATAAAAAATACAACCATGCTAAATAGATTATATGACCGTTAAAGTATATCAACTGTTGCAACCCTATTACTACTCTGACAATGTGTTCTCTTTACTTCAAACAGACCTTATTTGTCCTTCCATTTCTCATCATAATCTTTAAATCACTGAAAAGGGGACAATACGACTTTAGGAGATAAAGGCATGCTATAAATGACATGGTGGATAAAATCAAATCCCTGCTGTTTATATGAAAAACAATATGAGTTCAAAGCAAGTATAGATTATGGACAGGGGATAACAAGATACAATAAATGCTCAACTTTTTCTCATATAACCTCCTGCTAGGAATATTATTTATTCTCTTCCTGATATAGTTATTACATATATAAAAGTAGAGAAAGAAACAAGTGATAGCTTATATATGTGGTTGGTTCTCAAGCAAATAAATGCAGACAAATTTCAGAATTAACTTTAAGACCTGGGCTTCAAAGATTCGTTCTTGTTACATTATCTATAGTAATACAAGTTACTGGTTTCACTTAAAACCTTACCAGATTCCGCATGTGTGGATCATGCAAGACACCATATGCAGCCCATCTTGACCAAGATTCTAGTACAATGCCATCAAAATCCATCTCCCTGTCAAGTAAAAAGAACCATGAAAATGTAATTCCAGATTCTTAGGTTGGAGAGAGGGAAAGAAAAGGATGTGGATTCAAAGGCAAGTATTTTTTAGTATATGTAACTGACTTTAGTAGCCATCTTACAAAGCTCATTTTTAGCTTTGATGGTGTTATCAATCAACTGCAATTCAAAGAGCTCTCTTCTCCAAACAGAATTTGTGACACCATCCAAGTTATAATACTTGATCCTAAATCCAGTTCTTTTTTGGGCTTCAAGCTCTTATAACCTCCTCAACTGTTTGTCTTTGAACACATAAAATGCATTTGATATAGATTCTTTTCTCCCAGTTGCTTCTTTCCAAGTTAACTCTCCCCATGCTCTACTTAATCACAAACTCTGGCCTAAGTTTGGCAATCAAGGACAAGCCCATTAAAAAGCATGAACTATATTATTTGATACATCATCTACAATAAGCTTAATAAAAGCATTCAACCATAAGACATAAATATAGGATCCTAAAAATTAGCATGTCCCACATGGGTGCACATCCCATTTAGAAAAAAATCAAGTTAAAGCATCCATCTGCCCACATGGTAATCACTAGAAAAGTGGCAGTCACTTCATATGTATAATCTGTACGTGCAAGGGCAGTTTGAGCATTAGTTGTCAACAAGGGCCAAACGTTGCATATTGTGGCATTGAGGGAGCACTTAATATGATCCTACAGTAACAGGTTTAGCCACAGCATCTCCAGTGATTGGAACTACAATCATGTCTCTTTGGTATGTTGACCACCTGATAAACATAATCCTACGGTCCATCTTTCATCAAAAACGTCTTCAAATATAGCAATACATCTCAAATTGGTTCCTCCATGGCTCTATCAAACAGCAAATTATCTCTTGGCATTTCTATCTAGGGCCTTCATAAAAATTACTGAAAATCCAGCAACAAGAGTTGGTTTTCAGAACAAGATTATCTACTGTTTTGCATTAAAGATGTAACCTCTACTCTCACCCTCTTGTCTCTGTTGGTCTTGCATTTGATGATTACAGAGATATAAAAGAAGACTTGAGAAAATTGAATAAAAAATAACTAGAATTCCTGGAAGGTGGAAATATCAAAAGATGCATACTTGCATTCAGCTAGTATAAGGTCAATTACTTGAGCCCTCTGCTTCTTCTTTTTTAGCAGATCCATAGGAACAGCTTCAAGTACAATCCTTGGCAAAATCTGTCAATAAAGAGCCAGCATGGAAACAAGAAACTGTGAGAGAAATTAATCTGCATACTTCGTAATATGGACAAGAAAATCAATTCTATCATATAAGAAGATAGGTGGTAGATTTATTATCTGACATCCAGTTAAATTTTCATATGAACATTAAAACATAGTTTTGAGCAACCTACAACTCCCTGCAAGGGTGCAAGAAAGAAAGATAACCAGATGATGGGAAGTGAAAGGAAAAGACTTGCTACACATAATATTTTCTGGCTGATAAAGCCGAAATGCATAACAAGGAATAAAAAACCAAGGACCTATAACCAATATGTTGAAAGAAGTAAGATGCTTTCCAACTGATTGCAGTAATCGGGTGAATAGCATTACTAACTATTGTACTTGGTCTGAATGTGCTAACAAACCATTTTACTTCCATAGATGCAAATAGAACTTTGTAGTTCCAAGGAACAAACACAAATCTAAAGAAGTAAACAAGCTTCTTTTAGCGAAAATTAGATTCTTATATATATAGATAGATCTCCTGGAGATACACAATTGAGAATACAATGCCGTAATGGCTTGGGAGGAGGTAAGTTGACTTCCAAATACACGAGATTGATATTGCAATTACATGATTGGCACCCATCTCGACCTTCATATCCTTTGAGCGCCTTAATACTTGAAAACTGATCTCGATCTCTAAAATGGCAATGATCCTTCGAACAATTGAACCTATGAAATTTGAAGCCTCGCATAACTTTGAACCCAACAATTGGATGAACACCAATTGAGATCCCACCATTTCAACGAAGAGCACAACACTAGAATCCAAATAAACACTAATTTGGGCTAAATGATATCACAAACTGCCTTAAAGAACTTATCAACCTCAGATAGGATCCCAGAGGTGGTTATAAATGTGGTATGGGTTTTCATAAATCTATTTTAGGGTGCGTTTGGTTTGCAGAAATGTTTATGAGGGATTTGGATTCCCAGGAGGGATTTGGATTCAATGGGATTTGGATTGGATTGGATTTAAAATCCATTCCTGTGTTTGGTTTGCAGGATTTGGACATAATATGACCATAGCGTATACCATGAACTTCAACTATATATCTTGAAGAATCATAAAACTGCATATAGAAGTTGACTAGAAATAGCAAAATTCCTATGATCATGCATCTGAAGAATCAGTTTAAGCAAGCATATAGCAATCACGATGAAACCATCATATGTACAGAGCACACTTAAACAAAAACTATATACTTGAGAAAAGTTTTCATCAAACAAGGAGGACTACTCTGTTCATACCTATTCAGATTTAAGCATCTACAAAAGGTGTTATATGATTTACCTGCTGAGAGTGATGCGAGAAGGCGGCGAACAGGAAAGGCGTTTTGGCTCAAGGGGTTTTGGCTCAAGGCGGTTCAGGGCGCAGCTTCGCGAGGGGAAAAGGAAGGGAGCACCGGCGAGACGACCTTAGGGCACAGCTTCGCAAGGGACGGGAAGGGAGCACCGACGAGACGACCTTAGGGTACAGCTTCGCAAGGGACGGGAAGGGAGCACCGGCGATGGAAGGGAAGCGATGGGAGGGAATATGGGTGAAGGAAGCGGGAGGAAGGAAGGGAGACGCAATAATCGACAGGAAGCGATGGGAAGGAAAGGATTGGATTTGAAATCCCGCCCCTTTGCAAAGGATTTCCAAATCCCGCATACACTGGATTTTAATCAAATCCCTGGATTCCAAATCCCTTCAATTTGGCAAACCAAACATAGGATTGGAATGGATTTAAAATCCAAATCCCCCCAAATCCATTCCATTCCTGCAAACCAAACGCACCCTTAGGGAAATCAGGCTTGGTCTAACAACGAGACCGTCTTGAGGATGAAACAGACTGAGGAGGAACTCTGTAGCTGATTGGTGAGACTGTGATAACAAATTTGAGATGTATTTGGGTGAAATGGATGAAGGCAACAGAATAAAGACGAGAGAGGGATACCACCATTAGTGGTCAAGCTAGTCACAAAGTGGACAGACGTGTTAGAGACAGAAAAACAGTGAGATTTAAATATACCAATATGGTGAATGGACAGATGATTCAGCAACATACTGTGGTAAGTAAACTGTGGTTGGGTGCGAGGGGACCACTGGTGACAAAGGATGAAGGCTATCGGGTGAAGCATGAGTTTGAAAGGGAGCCTGGTTACAGAGCCGCTGTTGAGAAACTACTGGAGGTTGTTACCGGCATTGAAAGGAATCCAGTACTGGAGCACAATGGTGATGAAAGTGGAGGTAATGCTGGCTTTGAAAGGAGCCCAATGTGGGAGGATGTTGAAGGGATCTGGAACTGGAGCACACATTTAAAGTTACCCGGTTTTGAGGTTCATCCAGAGTATAATGGTTGGTTAACACATCGAGACAAGCATGAAGGTTAAAACAAATATCCAATCACTTTGTATTACTTGTAGAGTTCTAGAATATTTGAGACAAAAAAATTTACTTGAAAAAGAGCCCATTTGATTTCCTGAAGTTAAAGTGTAGCTCTTTCCAGAATGGATGACATAAGAAGTATAAAGGTATGATACGATTTCTATGTAAGCCTTTCCATAATTTTCATATTATATATTCTTTGCTGTTACTTTGCTTGCACATGCTTTGTCGATTTTCTATTTGAATTGTCTAGATCAAGTTATTTGCAAATAACAGCAAACCATTTGACTTGCAATTTATTAAACAATTTACAAGCATAAACTGGGAAAAGAGGTGAGTTGACTGTACCAGAGCATGTCCCTTCAACCTAAGATCTGAAATCCATCCTTTATCAACATTATGTCGTCCTTCCAGAACAAAATCATCCCCTTGGCTACAAGAGCGCAGAAGAAAGAGTGAAAAATGTGTATCGCAGAAACAAGCTGTCGAGCACCACAATGTCCCCATATACAATTATAATTATAATAGACTATTATGGTCAGCAGGTTAATGATGCTAATGATTTAAGTCTACATACTGAAGTGTAGACCAGCCAACTAGTTTGGGACAAAGGTTTGTAGCATTCTCTATGGTTTGGGAATTCAAACTTGTCTACCTCGTTCTGAGAACACATCTACATCAAGCTTTTAATAGCTAAACCTACCTGTCTCTTGTTTCAGAAAGTGTTTGTTCTCTTAAATGATAAGTTTACATACCATGAAGGTACAAAAAGCTATATTAACCATCAAGAAAATCTTAAGAACAAATTGGGCCTATCTGGAATTGGGTTCTTATTTTTTAACTACCATGATTTAAACGGTGGATTCCAGTGACAAATTGTAAACCACTGGTGGTTGTCTGCTTTCATACGCAGAATAGAAATCATAGAAGGAACGTAAATTAGACACCATCACTTTGGTGTGTTAATATCTTTCCATGTATATGTTATTACAATCCTCATTTTAACATCATGAATATCAGGGAACTCTCCTTTTAATAATTTCAATCCATTTCATCATCAAGTGTCAACAGTGCTCAGTTCATTGATTAAAAGAAATAGTAAATTCATTCAATCAACCTGCAAAAAGTAGTTCCGGCAACAAACCATTCGGGTACAAATACCAAACTTCCTTAGTCAAACCAGTGAGAGAAGAATAACATCTTTATGCAGAGATATCCAGAACATGCCCTAGTAAGGTCTGAAAACAAAGAATCTAGGAGATAAATGAGATTCACAATCGTAAACTAATAGTACCTTTTTAGATCGTACCACACTGGTGATATATGAGTAACCTTAGAGTTGAATTCCTTTGCGAGTTCATATCCCCTTGAATTCCTGCACCATTTCAAAAGTAAAACAAATTCATCATTGCTAAATGATTAGGAAGGTTGATCCAGCTTCAAACAACGTTGAACAATGGCGATCCAAAGCAGGTATTTGTTACCATGGTGTAACGTAAGCCAGCACCGGGTAGGGAAAATGCCGATTTGATGCATTTTCTGAAACTTTTGCATTTTCCTGAATCACTTCAAAAGTTAAAGAAACACAAGAAAAATAATGAAATTCACAAAAAAAAAAAAAATGTTCACAACACAGAGCAATCATATAACAAAACTTTCGCAATTTTTTTATGGATCTTGAATTTCCATCGAAACGATATATCCTTCACTGATAAGAGCATTTTAAAGAACAAAAAGAATCACAAAAACGTTGAGAGATTAATCGAGTTAAGTGCGTACAGCGAGAATTTCTTGATAATTGACGTCAGTCTTCACGAGGCCTCGTTGATATACGTACGGAAGTGAAGCATCTAGATCCGTATTGGAAGCGTATTGTATGCGGTATAAATATAAAGAAATGGCAGGAAAGACGATGAAGATGAGTAGAGTTATGAGAATACTAGGGCGTTTATGGCTACGAATTGGAGTTTCATCGCGATTTGAAGGTTCTGAACTGCTTGATCGGCGATCCGACTCAGGTGGTGCTCGCCGGCCTCGTTTTTTAGTCATCGCCGATTTTCCTCCGATTATCACAGGCTAACCCCTTAAACCCCTTTGGCTGATTTACAAAAATGGTCCCTGAAGTTTTTGTAAATTTGAATATATTTCTTTTCACTTCAAATATTTATATTTATATTTATATTTATATTTGCATCGCTACTCTTCATCAAAGATCCTGAGACGTCAAATTCATACCAATTGAAACTAACATGGATATTTGTCGTATTTTACTTATTATATATATACAAAATGATTTTCTTTTTTTTATTATTACTTATTTCTTAATTAGTCAATGATATTAAACAATTTATATTATGTCATATACTAAAAATTAAAACACCAAAAATGTAAGAAAACTCTAATATCGCATTACAAAAACCGTATATTAGATCATGGTATTGGTGCATCACAGGTTTAACACACGAATCTTATCGTGGTGACGAGCCTTTTAGAATCCTGCTCTTAATATACGAACATAGAAAGGAAAGGAAAGAAAAGAAAGAAAAAAAAAAAAAAAGATGTTTTATGCAAACATAAAGGGACCTTATATGCAACTTTCTAAAATAGAGGGGCTTATAGTTAGTCAACATGTAAGTTTCCCATGGGTGATAATGATATAAACCCAAATATCCAGTCTCCTGCCCCTGCTGAAGATAACGCCAGCTCTACGAACATAAAACCCCAAATCAACTTCTTTGGGCTTCTATAAACCCTAATCCCTAATCGTGTAGGTAAGTCCTTATCTTCGTCGTTTCTCTCTATCTGCGTATACCTTTCAGTTTGTAGTTGTTCAATGATGGCTACATATCTGCATGACGAATTTCTTCTGTGATTTTTTCCTTCTACTTTCAGTTGAACTCATTTTCTTGCAATTTTGAGCTTAAATGGCTTCATCTATTACCACTCTACCTTTCTTTATATCACATAAAACATCTCCAATTCAAAAACCTAGATTTTCCTTGGAGAACTCTGTTTTAATTTCTAAAGGCCCGTCTGAAAAGACAGCTTTTTGGGGGAAGACTTTGAATTTGCAAGTTGGGAGTTTTGGTGGTGAATTTAGGAAAAATCATCTTCGGTTTTCTCCGATTCAAGCTTTGGTCAAGAGGAGGAAAGAGCTTCCATTCGATAACGTGATTCAAAGAGATAAGAAGCTGAAATTGGTTATGAAAATCAGGAAGATTTTATTGAGTCAGCCTGATAGGGTTATGCAACTTCGTGATTTGGGTAGGTTTAGAAGAGCATTAGGGCTTCAGAGAAGGAGGCGGTTTATTGCACTTTTGAGGAAGTTTCCAGGGGTATTTGAGATTGAGGAAGAAGGGGTTTTTTCTCTTAGATTTAAATTAACACCTGAGGCTGAGAGGTTATATTTGGAAGAGATGAAGGTTAGAAATGAAATGGAGGATTTGTTAGTTGTTAAGTTAAGAAAATTACTGATGATGTCATTAGATAAGCGGATTCTTGTCGAAAAGATAGCTCATTTGAAAAATGATTTTGGGCTTCCTTTAGAATTCCGTGATACAATTTGTCAACGGTATCCACAGTATTTCAAGGTTGTTAGAACCGAAAGAGGGCCAGCTTTGGAGTTAACTCATTGGGATCCTGAACTTGCAGTTTCGTTTGCTGAGCTCGAAGAAGAAGAGAATCTGGCGAGAGAAGCAGAAAAGAGGGATTTGATCATAGACAGACCACCAAAGTTCAATAGAGTTAGGCTGCCGAAGGGTCTTCAACTTTCAAAGGGCGAAATGAGACGGATATCTCAGTTTAGAGACATTCCTTTTGTTTCGCCTTACTCGGATTTCTCTGCATTGAAGCCTGGTACAGCGCAAAAAGAAAAACATGCTTGTGCAGTTGTACATGAGATCTTAAGCATGACAGTTGAGAAGAGGACCTTAGTTGATCACCTTACTCATTTTCGTGAGGAGTTTAGATTCTCTCAACAGCTTCGAGGGATGCTTATAAGACACCCTGATATGTTCTATGTATCCCTTAAAGGAGATCGGGACTCTGTTTTTCTTAGAGATGCGTACCGTGATTCCCAATTGGTTGACAAGAATCGTTTGTTGCTCATTAAAGAGAAGCTTCGGGCACTGGTTTCTGTTCCACGTTTTAGAGGACGTGTGGTGAAAACTGATTCGGATGTTGGTGAGCAAGAAGAGGAGGAAGATGATGATTGGTCAGATCTTGATGATTTAGTGAGCAATGAAATGGATGACAATGACGAAGATGATGATGATGATGATGGCATGCCTCCTGATTTTAACGAAGATGATGAAAGTGTGAAAATGAGCCAAAGCAAACAAGCTAAGAAGGATGAAAATAAGGTTCTTGATCCTGTGTTCCCAGATGGAAAACCAAGAGAACGCTGGTAATGTTTGATATCATGTTGCCTTTTTTAACAGGTGAGGTTTATCCCTGCACCAGGCCATAAGGGTGAGTCTTTCATGTGGGTTTGGGTGATAAGACCATAAGGATGAATCTTGGAGACATGGGTTTGAGTCATAAGACCATAAGGATGAATCTTGGAGCAAAAAGGTAGCTGCTTTGTATCCGAGAAGCCATGGGTTTGAGTCATGGTAGCTTTCTTTTTATAGTATGCAAGAAAAAAACTTGGTACAAATACTTTGATAAGTTTTGTTATGGGAATGCACCAGTATAACAACTCATTTGTAACAAAATGAAATGGTATATGCAGCCAGAACTCAATTGGTATCAGTAAATGATTTCTAATGTTCAACTTCGATTATATACTTGTAATCTTTTATCATCCGAAGCAAGTTTTTTCATTTAGACATGAGTGTTTGGGTCACTTGTACGTAACTCGACTAATCCTACGTGACCCGAAAGATAACAACTATACTATGAAAATCCTGTGTGTCACTAAGCAGACTTGAGCTAGTGACCTAATGGAAACGGTCGTTTTGAGATGCTTCATTTTACGATCCAAGTAGAAGAATTGACTGTGCCCAACCACACCAATCCCAACCTCTTTATAAAATGAATCATTCCGGGATTGATATAGGGCTTGTGTTTCGTATCAAATAAACAGTTAGGTGGATTTTGGTTCGTTGGATTCCGACAAAATACATACAAAGAAAATTAAAATTGGAATGGTGAATTTCATTCTTTCTAACTTTTAGATGGAATTGAAATTCCATAAATGACAAGACTTTCAATTCCTTTGGGTTTAGTTTGGAATCCCAATTCTTTTTATTCTCTTTTTTTGAAAGAAGGCCATTTATGCCCTTATATTTTAATCAATTCCATTCTACCATACCATGATGGTCGTCAAGATTCACTACCACCACCTCCTTCATTGTTACCACTGTCAGCTCCACCCATCTTTATTGCCATTATCAGTATCACTAGCTCAACACCACCACCAATTATTACTATTTTTAATTTTATCATCAAGTAGTATTTATGATTAAATAATAAAAATATGAAAGATATCATTTATCATTATTTTATTACAAGTTATTCCAATTCTTTTAGTAGATTCTAGCCCACTTCTTTCAACCAAAAGCATGGTAAAACCTTATTAAATTACATTTCAATTTCTTCAAATTTCCAATTTTGACAAGTTCTATTATATGAACCAGATGCCGCCTTAAAATGGGCTTGCTTTGCATGATTTAAAAAGCTTTAGAATTCAATTTCATTCTAATCCTCTGTTTTCTTTCAAAGAAAGTTTGAATATGAAATTCCACAACTGATAGATTAAGAAATCTCTTGGAGATGACTGTCATTTCAAATCCAAATCCTATGGATTTCAATTGTTTCTGTCGCATCTATGCGTCGTCTCTTTCATCATATCTGTCATATTTTCTCCATCGCCTCTAAAGGTGTGTTTGGTACACTGGACATGATAAAACATGACAGCATGACTTTGATGTGAAACAGACAGGAATAGAGTGGAACTGACCTGCTCCACCCCTATCCCATGGAACATGGTTGAACAAGGTGGAACAGACTTATATTTTGCCATTATAACCTCAAATTAAAACTTAATTCTATTCTAAAACATCAAATAGATATCTTTTTTACATTTTATTCATTCTTTAAATTTTGTTTATTGTATTTTATGTTTCTTAAACTTTCATTTTACTATCCTTAGAATATTTTTTATCCGTCTTCTATATTTTTATTAATTTATGTAATTTATTATATATTAGCAATAAAAAATTGTGTAAAAAAGAGATAAAAATAAAAATTAAAAACCACGTAAACTTTTTATTTGGTGTCGTTTTGACGAAAAATTTCTAATGATAAATTTTGTTATAAAAAAATATTTTATTATAATTACGTAAGTTAATTAAAATGAACAACTATTTTAAGGGTAAATTGATCATTTTATATGTTATGTTCATCTCTATCTTACCAAACTATTTAAATTTTAAATCATGTTACGACATTCAAATATGTGGGATTAAGTTACCCTCATCTTTTATAGTTTGTATTGTAATGACAAAATAAATAAAAACAAAATGTTGTATGGTAATATAATTTATGACCTAAGAATAAGAATTATAAACTACAAGCTAAAAACATAATTTACTCTAAAAGAAGTAAAAGCAAAACTGATTTAAGAGGGTTACAGGTTTCTTTCATAAAATAACCTACTACTACTAGTAGTTGATGATATTATCATAGTCTAGTCTAGTCCAATTTAATTTGTAGGTTATTTGATTCCATAAAAATTGTACTCAACTTATATAATAAATATTTATTACCTAATTATATAAGTGAAAAGAAAAATTTATAAAATATTTTAATCTCATATCTCTTTGCTGAAAATTTTAAATTATTCAATCACCCATCTATTTTGTTGGAAAATGAAATTTGACTTTTTTTAATATATATATATATATATATATATATGTGTGTTGTGGGGGATGTGAAAATACATCAAATTAGGTTATATATTGTTAAAGAGTGTAGCAGATAAAACAGAAAAAGTTAACAAAAAAAGAAACATCTGGAATAGGTTAAAAGTAGATGGTTTAATTATGAGGCATCCACGTACGAATACGTGTTCATATTTCAAAAGTGTTTAAACTCACATCAATCAAGCTTGTTACCACCTAACTCTTAGAAGGAGTCATTTTTGTGTAGCTAATGATATCAAAGAAAGTCGACATCAACAAGTGAGATTTATTTATAGTGGAAACTTTTAGGTATTTATTAATTACATAAACTAATTAATTAAATGGATTTATCATTTATATATCCTTACGTCTTGTATAAATGAAGAAGCACACACCTCGAGTTCCACTTCCACCAAAACACGAAAACATCAGCCATTGGTGGGATGCTGCAAATTGGGTTTTGCATCATAACGCAACTCTCTCTCACAACACCAAATATGGATATTAATTACATAGCAAAAGCTTTTTATTTTCATCATTTAAATATCTAAATTATTTTTTCAAAATCAATATCAAACTTGATTGATTAACTATTACACCATTTTTTTTAATTAAAATAACCATCAAACTTCGAAAATGGTTATTAAAAAAAAGCTACCAGGGAGATTTTAAAGTAAAAAATTTAAATCAGTTCCACTATTCATAAACCCTACATCATTCAAATCCATCCCACACAACGCACCGCTCTCCCTCGCCACTCTAGTCGCGGCCTTATTGTTGTCCGTCTTTTGTACCACCCATCATCGTCGTTGGCTCTTGCCATCGATCTCCCTCTTTTTTATCTCTAATTTTTCTTCTTTTACAACAATTTAATGGAACACTTATAGATACCCCAAAAAAGAGGGAGGATCGGTGATGAGCGGTGAGAAAGAGCGAATGATGATGAGGCAAGGGGGTGGCGAGGGGTTTGAATTACGTACGGGTTAAAAACGATAGAATTGATTTAGGTTTTTTTTTTTTACTTTAAAACTTGCTCTGCTAAATTTCTGGTAGTTTTAAAAAAAAATAGTTTATAGACTTAATTACTTAAAACGGGAAAGTCTTTCGAGGTTTTATGAACTTTCCTTTATATTATATTATGTTATATTATATATATATATATATTATATTGATACAAAAAGAATTTTTTTAATAAAATAGTAATTCTTAAAGAAGTTATTGAAAAACGTTAATCCCAATAGCTAGCAACATTGAAATCGATCGATAATTGGTTTAATTTCATAAATGGATCAAAAAATGGATAAGAGAAATTCAATTACTTATCTGAAAATTTGGAGAAATTATCTAAGCTTGAATGGAATACAGCAATAGGTTTTGGCATAAAACACCACCCCATGTATATTATTTAACAAATTAATAAAGCCACAACTACCAGATGTTCACAGCAGTGCTAGCTAGCTGCAAATAATGAGCTGCTTGCTACGAAAATGCCACTACTGATTTGTCAAGAAAGACTCCTATATTTACACCACATAACTTCATAGCAAAGGAAAAGAAAGCAAATTTAAGTGCAATAAGACACCAACACAAAGACAACAACAATGCCTCTATACTGAAAAAGAGAGGTTTGTGCTTGCTAACCTCTAGTCTGATCCTGAACAGCCATCCTTTCCGAGACTTCCGACAGAGAGTTAAGGTTGCAGTTAATTAAGGCCTTAACGAAGTAGCATGTTTCATCTTTCGTGTTGCCATCAGGAACGTCCACCATGAACGACTCAATTACCAATGTTCCAGATCTTCCTTCTATTATCTCTGGATGAACTGTAAGTATTGAACAATAATTCTGCAAAAAGATTATTTAACAAGAATCAATCTTGGATACAGTAATGGACATTTTCATGTAATATCTGAGGAAAAAGGGACTTGAATGCTTGATGATTTTATTTCAAATAGCACAAAGGCTGCTTCAAAATGAACATCCAATAATTTGATTCAACAGACACAGCTGATGCTGTGCTGAGAAGATTATTTAGCTTAAATCACAGATTATCGAGTTTGCTGAATTGTATACACCCACACACACACATATGCCTATATATATATATATATATACATATACATAACATAATTAAGAACAACAAACAGATGGTCACAAAAAGACCTTCAATAACGAAAAGCATCATCGATTAGAGACTTGAAATTAAGTAAAACTAATGTTGTAAAAGTTGAGAATTATGTCCTTCTTGGCTGCTTTCAGACCCCCCACCCCCTTTTCTCAAGCTATGTTCATAGAGATTATCCCAATTTACAAGAAATGTCTCCTGAATGAGGCACAACATAAACATAGATGCTACTAGCTCAAATTGGCAATCCAAATTCAAATATCAACCAAATCAATCTTCAGTAGAGATTATAATTAATATAGTCCATAATCATACCCTTAGTCTGTGATCGCCACCAACAATTCTGATACCAAGGATGTGTTCGTTGTCGTCAAGAAGTTCCAACCTCTCGGTGCTGGTGGTGGCTGGAAGCCCTGACTTCACATTCACCTGTCTAACGCTGCCTATATTAAGGTCCCCTTGCATGGTACACCGGCTCACAAAAGGCTTGTACTTCTGAGGTTGATCAAACCTCCTAACTAATGACCAAACCTGAGTAATGAAAAGAAGAAAACAAAAAGTCTACTAAAATCCTTCAATTTAGATTGAATTTTTAAAATTATTGGAGATATTTTTAAAAATTATATGAAAATTAACAGGTCCTACCAGTAAGATTGAAATCAAAATGTCAACATAATCAGTCATGGATGCAGTAGTAAAGTGATAAAAATACAACAGAAATGCTGTGATTCGAATTTTGTGGTGATGAATTGGTAACGAAGTCCATATCAAATTCTCGTTAGAAATTGCAAAAGGCAAAATACGTAGAGTAGCAAAACAGATTGAATTGAAAAAATGATGAAGAGAAACAGAAGATTTGGATAATTGAAAGCAAGCAAGGAGTGAGAGATTACGATATCAACAGGAGCTTTGATGTGTTTAACGACAACAGAAATGCACTGATGATGGTTAGGGTTATGCTTGTGGTGTCTTCGTATGTAATAAGCTGCTTCCATTGTTGAACGGATCGAAAACAGAATGGAAAAGACTTGTGTTAGAGAATGAAGACAATTGTTGGGGGTGGGGGTGGGGGTGTTTTTCCCTCTTAATTAACAACTTGCTTTTAAAGAACAAAGATAGGAATTTTGTGAACGGAGATAAGCCATGACCCACCGTCCAATAAAAACCCAATTAAACCCGACCCGGATCATTCAAAAAAATCAATTGGAGGTCAAAGCTTCAAATTTTATCAAAACACAAGAGTATGTATGTGTGAAATTGATCAATTTTAAAAAAATAGTATTTAAAATGAATTTAATTGGTCAATTTTGAAGGCAAAGTCTTAGAGGTTGTTATGCCGGTTTTTAAAAATTTAATTAAAAATGTTTACATCTATATAGATTGTGAAGGTTTTTTGTTTGATGCTTTATAGATGGAAAGTGACAGGTTTGAAAAACAAACCTTGACTTTCTGTGTAAAGTTTTCTGAATAAGACATTTCCTATATCATTAAGCCATTACCAAAGAGTCATATATAGCTGACCGAATAAACAGTGAGTCTTGTTAAGCTCATTAAAATGCTAACAAACAGGCCCTTAGACTCATTTTATAGGAAACAAATTCCACTCCATATTACATAAGTGTTGTTAAAAATTCTTTACACCAGCAACTCTTGTTGAGTTAGGGATTGGGTAATTTTGAAAAATTAGAATTATATAATCAAAATGTTGTATATAATGTTTGATGATTTGAAATTGTTTGTGTAAATATAACAAAAAATATACGAATTTCAATCTAATAACTACAAACATAAACAAACAAGTTGTTACAACATGAAATACCGATTATTGAAACTTAAATTTGTAACAGTCAGATAATTACTTTCAAAATATCCATTCAAATAATATGTAGATTAAACGGAATAAAATGTGGTATTTTATGAAATAGGATGTTATTTAAAACCATTTTATAGATTCGTAGTATCTCTTTGCCTCCAACGAAGCAACAATAACAATTTATTTCTTTATGTTTGTTATTTTTTTTTCCAAACAAACTGAATTTACTTTGTTTAGTTATAACTTTGAAAAACATATTTTGAAGGGTGTATTCACTTGTAATTTAAGGATTTATAGTTTGAAGAGGATGATTTATTTAGACATGATTTTTCAAAATTAACAAGATGATCAAAAATAAGACTAAGAATTTATTTTAATTAATATTGAGACTTTGTACAAATATAATACATGCCATTCACAATTAAAATTGTGATGTGGGAGTGGGATTATCAAGTCAAATTAGACATTGATGGACCCCACTTATTATCATCACTTAACCGACCATTTCATGAATTAAAACCAAAAAAAGTCCACTCGTCATTAGTCAACATCCATCCTTTTACATTTTATTTTTTTATTGGTTAATTTTTCAAGTCTAGACTATTAAAATCCTAACCATTTTCTTGTTATTAACGTTGAAGGTGGTAGAGATTTAAGTCCGGTGACTCTAGGTTATTTGCAAAGCAGGTGGTCGTTCTGAGATTAATCGGCTCACATAGCGGATTGAATATCCAGGTTAATAAAAAAAATATTTTTATCATAATTTAAAAAGTATCAGTAATAACTACAAATTGATAAAGTTTGTTTTATTTCAGACAATCTCGTTTAACAATGTATAGTTTGAAAATGTTTATTGATGTAATCCTAATATGACGACGGTGGAACTTAAACCTATTTTTATAAATAAATATATATATATATATATATATATATATTATCAAGATAAATATTTACTAAATTATAGACCGTCTAAATAAACATATTTTATACAATAGACCCTTAGGTGGCGTTTGGTTCGCAGAATGTTTTTGCATGGAATGGAATCTGTTGTAGGTATTTGACTTTGAAGAAATTGGAATTAAATGTTGTTAGGTCTGACCACCTGTTTGGTTGGCAGACATTGAAATGGAATCTGTTAAGGAATTAGAATCTTTTGTTTGGTTCACAGAATGTAGCTTTAGAATTGGAATAAAATTTTGGTAAATGACCAAAATGCCCTTTTTTGAAAATTTTAATTTTTTGAAAACTAAAAATACTTTAATAAAATAATTATTTAATATGTAAAACAATATAAAATATACAACCTAAATATAATCATAAGCCAAACAACGTTACTAAATCGACGGTGATTGGCGGTGGTTCAGATCGGTGGTGGTCCACAGTGGTTCAGATGGTGGTGGTTCCCAGTTATTCAGATCGATGGTGGTCCGCAATGGTTCAGATGGAGGTGGTCAGCGGTGGTTCAGATAGGCGGTGGCAGCGGTGGTTATTCAAATCGGTGGTGGTCGGCGGTGTCCGACAGTGATACAGATCAATGGTAGTCGTCGGTGGTTGGCAGTGATATAGATCGATGGTGGTCCGTTGTGGTTCAACTGACGATGGTTAGATGCGGTTCAAATCGGCGATGGACATATCGGTGATGGTCAATGGTGGTTTAGATGACGATGGTCGACAGTGGTTCAGATCGGTGGTAGTCGGTGGTGGTGGTTCAGATCGGTGGTAGTCGGTGGTGGTGGTTCAGATCGGTGGTAGTCGGTGGTGGTGGTTCAGATCGGTGGTAGTCGGTGGTGGTAGTCGGTGGTGGTTTAGATCAATAGTAGTCGTGAGGTGGTCGACGATTGTCATATTGAGTTTTATGAGATTATAGTATATTAGGTTAAGGACATATTTGGTATAATGAATATAGAGATTTCATTCCATCAAAATACCATGTAGTTGCTAAGGAATGTCAAAATCCTTTATCCATGGAATTCATAGGAATCTGAAGATTCCTTCCGCTGAAAAGAATGAACCAAACGAAGGAAATGAATCTGGTCAAAGGAATTCAACATTTCAATTCCTTTAAATTCCTCCAGAATCTGCGAACCAAACGCCACCTTAATGTATTTTGGTTGAAATAATCAAATATTTTGGTTCAAATGATTTAAGGGCACGTTTGGTTTGGTAGAATGGATTTTGAACGTTTGAATTTCACGAAATCGTTTGGAAAATTTTCAACAGATTACAAGGATGAAAAAAATATAAAGAAATTAGTATTGAAGAATTAAATAATATTTTAAAATTCTTTTAAATGTATTGTTGGTTTCAACCATCGTATTTGATAGTAATAAACAAAGCATCCGATCACACACTTAGAAAAGAAAGTTCTAGTTTGCTTTGTATTACAAAAACCCGAAACTTTAAAAGAACATTTTCATATACGTTCACTCGATCATTTCGGGATTCATCGGGTAATATCTCATCTTGGTATCATTCGAACCTGTTGTTTTAGGTTTTAGATATATCAATCATCGGATCATTGGTATAAGTTAAATGTTTGACCAAACTATCATCCAATCATAAAAACTCCGATTGATTTTAATTGAAATAACGATATAACTTAAAATGTTCTAAATTATACCAAGTTATCTTTCACATTCAATGAAGTATCTTCATAAAGTTTCTATAGCTAAAAATCCGATGTATATATAGCTTATATTTCAAATATATATAAAAAATTTACTTGTAAAAGTCTTATAACTATCTATATTGATTTAAGAGCAAAATGCTTCAATAAAATTGAAGACTAGTTGAATTCAACAAGATCGAAGACTAGCTGAAGTAATGTCAAGATCGTCATTAAAGCAGATTGGTTTCTCATCTAGATCAAGAGAAGATCAATACATAATAAAGTCAATTAGCAGTCTGACATATACTACTACTACTACTAACAAACTGAATTTTGAAGTATAAACTTGGTCAGTAAGTTTGGTCCCCAACTCTCTTACTCCCTTCTTGGTATGAGAACATGTACAACACGTCAGCTAAAGCAAGTACAAAAACACTATTAATTAGTCTCATACTTGCTTTACTGTTTCCTTGGCATGCCATAAAAATAGGATAAGTTAACAAACTGTCTACATCAAACTCAAAGGCTAAAATGAAGAGTCTCATGATGCATGGCTCAACTAATAAGAAAAAGACGCACATTAAAGTTGGACAATATGCAATTATGGCTATAATAAGTCACCCTTGTCATTCAAAGCAACTTACCTGTTTTGAAAGAACATATTTGTAAGTGTTTCTTACGACATCATCCTTTGAAGAAATTCCTTAGTTCTTTTGATCTAAAATAGTACTTTCTCTCCTAGTTTTAAAAAATTTGTCACAATTAGATTATTTAAGATCACAAGTCTTATCTTCCTAACTTCCGCAACAAATCTGTAATTTTTTTTATACTAAATATAAATCAAGAATTAAAAGTAAAAATATGTTGTGTTTGTATTCAACCCCTCTCTTCTACAAACATTTCTTGTATAAGAGTGTAAGTCATCACTTCATGTATATATTTGAAGTAAAAGATATGTGTCATTTTCACTAATGAACTTATTGCAAAAGTAATTGCCCCATTTTGCATAAGCGTTTGGAGATAAGGATGATCAGTTTTTTTATTCATACTTTATATCACATGAAGTAATAAAATGTCTGCATACACTGAATTTAGTAAAAGAACTACAAAATAGGACGGTTTGCCTATCAAATGATAATAATTTATTATAAAGTGAATCATTAATTAATCTTATAACTTTTCCAACGTTTCTATTAACAATTCGATGTTTAGGTTAAAATGTGGAAAGAACTTGTTGATATATAGTTCAAACAAAATACATCCAAACTTTTGGTATTTATAGAATGAAAGATTTGGTCCGTGAAAAACTAGACTTACTTTCGTGTTTTATTGGAGAAGGATATCATGTTTCTCAATCATGTAATAAAAAATATATATACAAATTTACCATTAAATAGTTATATATAAAAAGATTTACACAACTCAGTCCAGTATTATCCATACTCCTTGATAGATATGTGCAGAAAGACTTCCAATCTTTTGATTCAATCGTAACAAACTAATTCAATCACATCCGGAAGACCAAAAATTAGTAATTAGATAGGATCGGATCTAAAACTTCAGTATTCAAATTGGACGGATCGTTTGTTAATAAATGATAGCCTAAAATCCAATAAAAATAAACCAATGAAATCGAATTACCATCCAAGGCATAAGAGATGAAAGATTTATTATGTCTGCATTTTGGTGTGTGAGACTTGACTTTTCTTATGATTTATATTTATAAATTCGGTTGGTCGTTGGATTTATATGGATATTTGTTTATAAGTAGTTTTTTTTAAGTTAAATGTATGGATAGTCGGTTGAAATTGTTAGATAATTAATTCAAAATATTTAAATTTGGTTCTATAAATAATCAGTAGTAATATATAACTGATTGTTCTTTTAATTATATTAGTTTTCAAAATTCAATATAAATAAAATTACATGAAATTAGTTTCTATCAATTTTTTTTTATTTTTTTTTATATTTTATATGATTGTGTTTATATTTTTGTATACTAGAAGCGTACTCGCGCAATACAGCGAGATACATCGTGTTTTTAATATTTCATTTTATTCTTTATCTCAGTCGATGTTATAATATGGCTTTATGTGATTTTGAGAAAACGATAATGTTTTTATTTTTTTGAATAAAATATATGTTTGACGATATCATAAAAATTTGACAAAAATATATCGATATTAGTATCAAATTAACTATTTGAAATTCCTCATTTTTTTGTGTAATTTTTTAATCCAATT